TTATATATTTATATATTTATATTTATATATATATATTTATATATTTATATATTTATATGTATATATATTTATATATTTATATATGTATATATTTATATATTTATATATTTAGATTAAAATATATATTATATATTAATAATATATATATATATAGATTATAGATATATTTATTCTAAAAATCAATTTATTTCATCATAATATTTATATATATTAAATAAAAATATTAAAGATATCGGATATAAAATATATTTATAATTTATTTTATATTCATTAATTTTAGAATATATAATATATATTTTTTTCTATATAATAATATTTCATTTTTTTTATATTGTTATTATTTATATATATATATTAAATTATATAATTATTTTATCGATTATTTTTTATTTAAATTTATATTATTAATTATCATATAATTCCTTGATTTTATAATTTAAATATGATTTTCCTGTAAATTTAGATAAAATAATCCATGATTTTATATATATTTATATAATAATAAATAAATTTATCAAATTTCGGCCTTAATAATAAATATAGAATTCTAATATAATTTAATTATAATTATTTTTTATATTTAATTATAATTAGATTAAATTAAAATTCTATTTTTATTATTAAGACCAAAATTTAATAAAAATATTTATTATCAATATATAATTATATATACAAAATCATACATCATTACATCTAAATTCGCAAGAAAATCATATTTAAATTATAAAATCAAAGAATCATATTAAAATTATATTTTATTAATTTATATTATCAATCAATTTAAAATAATATTTGTTTTTTATATATATTAATTATGTATTAATAATTAAAATAATAATAATAATAATATATTATTATATATTTTATAATTTTATAATTATTTAACAAAAAAAAAATCCATCTAAAATAATTAATAATATATATGCTAAAAAAAATATATTCAATATTTTATCAATTATATATTTTTTTATCAAAATAAATTAATATTTTTTATTCAAAATTATATTATATATAATATATAATATATAGATCTATATATATATATTTATTCAATTCATTCCAAAGAATTTTATATATAATTTATTTCAATTTATCTATTTAATTTTCTAAATTTAATTTATATTATTCTAAATTGTTTAAATATTATATAATTATCTAATAATTTTAGTTTTAAAAAAATCTTTTTTTTTCCCTTTCTTATTAATTTAATTCCTAAATATTAATTTTTAAAATTAAATTATTAAAATTTTATCTTATTTACATTATTTTTTATTTTTAAATTAAAAAATAAATAAATAATATAATATAATTTTAACAAATTATTATTATATAAAATAATCGATAGATTAATTAGAAAAATATGTTTCTTTCGGATTTTTTTCGTGATTTTGGTGGGGTTGGAAATTAAATAAGGAAAATCGAAAGGGATAAAAAATGATTAAAATATATTTAAGGAATTTAAGAAAAAATATAGGAAAATAAGAGAGAAAAAAAAAAGAAAAAAAAAGAAAATGAGATATTTAATTAATTCTTGTCAATAGGTTAGTAGCAATCTAGAAATATCGTTGTCTATTGGCGGTCTAGCATGTCTATTGGCGGATATTGGCGGTCTAACAGCAGTCTAGTGGCACCCTGCCAGCAGTCTAGCAGTCCAGCAAGCGGTCTAACAAGCACATCTCAGCTGTCTAGCAGCAGTCTAGCAGCAGCCCCAAATCTCGGGCAAAAAAAAATACATAAAGAAGATGCACTCAACCTATTCAAGAAATTTGCACCTGGCACGGAATTGGCACTTTCTCAACCTCGCATTGCATCTCCGTGTCCGCCAACGGTGACTTTGACCCATTGGCAACATCCTTCTCAAAGAGTTTATCGAAGTCATGTAAATATCTTGGCAAAACAAGGCCTCGTGGCTCATCATCGTCCCAATCTTCCTTTCCAACCTGCAGTTGGCAGAGTCACGAGGGAAGTGGGGCCGGTCTTGGCTATGGATCAAGTTGTGGTGTTTTTGTTCCGCCCCGAACATTAGAGATTCAGGATTACATCCAAAACCACCAACCTGCTCACCGTGACGAAGCTTGAAGTTCTTCACTGGATCTGAATTTGGCATTTGTCTGATTTCATCATCCCTTGCCACAGGGTTATACTGAACACACACCCCAAGTTGCAGGATCATCCCCATGGTTCCCCAGAAGGCATACAAGTAGGATGGTACCCCCTTTATTTGGTTTTCAATTGTGGCAACCTTTCCCAGCAACCCCGTCAACAAGATCTGAATCGATGTAAAATGACTTTTTAAAAATGGGACTGAACCTCCTATATACTATAAACATCTATAAACTATAAACTACCATTGCCGATTGGTCACTGCTGGTTGACTGATGGTTCATTTCCCATTCCCAGCCATCACAGGGCTCTGCCAAGGTGCTAGACCTCGCTTGGGTAGGCCATCGCTGGAAAAGCCTTGGCTCCTCCAAAACCTCTCCACGCATTGCGTGTGAGCTCCTTCCATGCGGCGTGCGACAACGGGGTCAACTGGGGGTTGGAATTTTGCTCTGCCCATAGTTGACACTAGAGACCTACATGTTACATTGATGTTACATGTTTGATTGTTTGACCATGTCTTGCGGCAAGGATTGAGGTGCCAGGACCTCACGGCACAGATTCTGGGCACAAGATGATGAAATCTATCCAAACTAATCCAGGACCGTCCCCAGGCCGTAAGACCCATACCCATCAGCAATATGGCTGAACATGTTTAGTATATCAGTATATCTGCAAATGGTTCCCATTTTGACCGAGTAATGATGACTACCCACGGGCCAGGGATTCCTCCAGCATAGAGCACGACCACCACCTCCTCACCCTGCCGTCATCTGGTCTCTTTAAAAATGTGGAATGCCCTAAAACCATTGGTTTCCCCATTCAAAATGTTCACAAATGACAACAAATGACATCACACATGTTTCATAATTCGGGGGTCCCCCGATTCAAAAAGAAAGTCCTATCTGGTCCACCATCTTTTTAACCCAGTTTTGCCATCGGATTTGGGCAAGAAACTCAGACTTCCTTAGTCATGACGCTGACCGTCATCTCCCCTTCATGACCAGCCACTATTATTCCTCATCCTCATCTATTTAACAATCTATGCTATCCCGATTCTTTGGTTCATCACAACTCCCAATCTCGAATACCCTCCGCAAACTTAATTCCGAGCTGGGTTGGAAAAATATATCCATCGAAAATGGCGTCATCTTGCTTCATCAAATTTGAGTACGTATGAGTTCTACACAAACTTGGCCCCTTGGCCATCCGATGTGACCATACCAACCCCTTTCGGGAAAGAGACCTCTTTGGCTTCCAGCATACACTCCGCCATGGTCAGCACCGCTGCCAAATCCACCAGGCGCAGCTGGAAGCTGTCGATGATGATCTTGGCCAAGACCTATAGCTCAAGTCGTCAGCAAGTCACCCATAGAAGCCCCTGGTTTCCGCAGTAAAATAGCTGGGATGGGATTTGTGGATGTTCATCCCAATCAAATATGGCATAATAGGAGGTTTCATCCATCTCCATTTTTTGAGAAGCTACAAAACCTCTCAGATACGACAAAGATTGCATAACATGGGTTTGTCTGAACATTTGGTACCGGGTACCCAACATGTTGACACAGTCTATCATTTTCTATCATTAAAATTGGCATTTCATCATTTGGTGTATGTACGTCTCATTCTTGGACAAACCCATAGACGTCCATTTCACCATCCTGAATATAGAACATGCTGTATCAAAGGAAACGTCCAGCTGCGCCCAGCTGGGTTTGGGTAAAGACACCCGCTGTCTCCGGCTTGCGGCTTGAGTCGACCTCGCGGCACAAAGCCAGACGCTTGGCGAATTCTCAGGGTTGAAGCCGTTGAAGCCAAAAGGAAATGGCTGAAGTGACAAAGGACAGATACAAACAAATGATGATTCAATGATGATTCAATGATTCAATGATGAATGAAAGCCCCAGCTTGTTTTGCGTTGCTACCTGAAGGATTCAGTCTATGGACTGCAGGATGCAACAGAACATATTCTTTTCTCGGAAACTCATGGATACCTCCTCAAGCAAGGGTCAGAATCATGAGCCTTAAACCTTAAAGAACAAAAGTCAGTTCAGTACAGCAACAACATTCATAGCAACCCCCACCCAGAGGGCAACGGTTTCTGGCTGTCAAGCTACGGATGAAATGCAGCGAGCTCCTCGAATGCCTCCTGCAGATTGGGAATACCTGGGCTGTTCCAAGGATATTTACAGAAACTGGAACCCTGGGTCGTTTAGTCATGGGTCTATCTTTGCAGCACCTGATCACCACATTTGAGTATCTGGGGGTTGCATGAGTTGCTAATCCAGGATTGACATTATATTTCAGCTTCCTGTAGGATATGGGGTGTCCTAGCCCGATGTGATGTTTCTTCTCGGAGTGTGCACTTCTTTTGAGTCTTGAGATGCAAATCAGACCTTGACACTTCTTCACCGACATAATTCCTACCACGATCAAAATACTCAAACATACAATAGAAAAAGGCAGCTTGGGTCTGAAGCAAAATGGATGGAACGAATGCTCGCCAAGTCGTAGTGCTTGGACTTTTTGCTCTTGCTCCTGGACAGCAAACCAGCTCAGCTTAAGAAATACCGACAGTTTGGCAGCTTCTGAAATCTTGAGGAAAGGTCTCAATTTTTGAGTTCCCCTTTTATTTGAACAGTTACACTACACCTTCCTGAATCTCTCTGACATCCTGTTTCAAGAAAACTCGTTTGGGTATTGGTCAAAAGTTGCTGAAAGTGAAGTTGTTTGCTAGCAAAACAATGGCCAAGGATCTGTGTTTTCCCTGGCTTTAAAGTTTTGACACTTCGAGCGCAGTGATTTTGCTGCAACCCATGAGCTGTCGCCACATGGCTGCCTGGCTTTCTTCAGAGTTCGCAACTCTTTCGGATCGCTCCTGCAAGCATTACCAGCATCCCGTCATCCATGGTCTTGTTCAATCTGGCCCAGTTTGATATCCAAAGTCTGACCCTGGATCCTGGATTTTGGATGCTCAAAAGGGAGCCCCCCATTCCCGAAAATCTCAAAAGGGAGTGATTCCTTCTGTTCATACTGCAGCAAGATACAGAAGCCCAATGACAGAGGTCTTGCTCTACGTATCCCATTTTTTGGTAGCGATTGCTACCAACCTCAAGTCACCCGTCCTGTCTATGTCTGCGTAAACCTGCAAGTAAGCTGGACTGGATTGGACTGGTGCTGGTGTGACAAAGGTTTAGCATGGTAGCAAGACTTCCTTGGTTGGTGGAACTAGACTCGCCACAACAATGACTCGGTGGTTTGCAATCTCTCTAACCAGGTGTCATGATCCCTCACACCTTGCAATCAATCTCTTGTCCTCAAAGATCAGCAAAAGTGAGTTGGCTAAAGCACATTCATCCACAATTTTAGGTATCTTTGATCTACATAATGCAGCGGAATGTCAGTAGTGGCAAACATTGGGAAGATTGCTTTACGATGCTCACTTGAAAAAAACTCTGAGTTAGCAGGGTCGTATCGAAGTCTGACCCCTTTGCATCAATGATGGTTTATCAAAAATTATTTGCCTCAATAAGCCCCCCAATTTCCTGATGGTGACTCAGTCCATAGTTTCAAGGGAGAAACCCAATTTCCTGACGTATCACGGTGGCGCCTCGCGGTGGCACTCACGTAACCAGGCCATGAAGTAGTCACCATCTGCATCAGCCCCCTGGCCATGTCAACTCCCAGGTTCCTGGGTCCAATACTCAACCAGGCTTATCAAATATTCGGGGGCTGGTCCAATGAGTCCAATGGTTAAGAACAATTTCAAGTTGTAGATTGGTTACGAACAGCTAATCAATTGGATGGCCATCCAAGAATGTTGAGGAACATGTCCAAAATAAACAGAATTGACGATTCAAAAATGCTCACCTACCCACATAATTGGGGTTGTTCTGACCCATACCCACAAAAAAGCAATGGTTTTTTGAACCCATATATTTTGGTATGCAAAATCTAGTGATCTTTGTGGTTTGTTGGGAACACAGCTCTTCGTAACATTGCGGATGTCCACGATGCGTCGTCCCATAGCACCTTGGGGTCTGCAAGCAACTCTTCCACCGAGCGAAAGTACCAGTCCTGAAACCCCAAAACATCTACCTACACCCAAATTTTGAAAGCAAGCATCCAACTCCCTTGGTTAACCTGCATTTCTAGTCCGCAAATGTGAAACGTTCTCGAAATGAATGATTTGAAGGTTTATTTGGCGCACTATGAAAGAACTGAAATTGATGGCGCACAAATCCGCCCAAGGCTCCCATCCTGTCCTCTGCCTGATGCACCAGCGCCTCAGCCCCCTGCTGCTGCAAACCTTGTGCTAGGCCAGAGATCCAGGTCCTGGCGTGGTACCCCGCGAAATTTCCAATATCTGGATGTGCTAAACCCAATAATAAACCATCCCCAATAAAGGTTCATGAAATTGTTTACCCCTAGCAACGGAATGACGTCAACTGACCCCCAGTCATGCTTTGTTAATGGGATGGTGGAGGGTTTACCACATTAAATACACAGCCCAGCCCACCCCAGCCCCAGTTGCAAATCCCCCAATTGCGACAGTTGCACAAGCTTAGTTTCCAAATCGGATGAGTCGCAAAAGAATAGAGCCAATAGTTGCAGAATACAACCAACAGTTTCGGAATCCAACCAAGTAGTTGCGAAATGCAGAGGAGCTTCGAAATCCAACTTTAACCCTGAGAACGGTCAACGTGATATTTTCTGAGCACAGCTGAAAAGATTCAAAATGGCATGGCTAGGGCCGGCTAGGATGGCTAGGGCACCCCGAAACAGCTCTCCTCGGTGGATCTGATCCTTTGGCTTTCAAATAACCGTGCAGAGGAGCCCGGCGAACCGGCACCTCGGGTCTGGGCTCAGCGGCACCATGGGTTCCCAGGTCAAACATCACTCTGGGTTGAACATCTTTCTGTGTCAACTGCTTCCTCTGTGTTTGATTCCACCTGGATTTCGGTTGTCTCAATAGCGTGTCACTTCCAATGCTTCTGTATAGTTTGTTAGTATCTATGTTTCTTACTTAGTGGCAAGACAATAACAAACAGTATGCTTTTTGTGATTAGATCGACTTAGATTTGTAGATGTGTTCGTCCAATATCAAGGCTTTACAAGTCTGAATCTTGATCTGTTGCATATTTTCTCTTCGTCCTGACATCTGTTGACCATGTGGCAAGTATGACTCATATACGCCAAGAATTGCGGGAACTATACGTGCAGCGTGGATTAATAACGGCGTACCGAGTCACCCATACGTTTTCCATTTACAAGAAAACCATACCTGTCGTTTAATCTTTCCACATGTATTGATTATCTGGTTCTATCCCCATTCTGTTTTGTTCGATGCCCAATCTTTGTTGGGCTGATCACCAATTCAATTGTTTGGATCCAGGTGTGGCTATATGTCATTCTAGTTGCTCGTAAAGAATATCCAAATTCTTCGCAGCTGACGATTCAACATACATGCTCAAATCCTGATGTTTGCTAGTTAAATCCACATGTTTGTTACTAAAATCACCATTTCTGCCATTTACGTTGCTTAACATCATCATATCAGATCCCCGTGGTGCCAAGCCATCCCCTTCAGTCTCCTTCGGTCCCCCTTTCGGTCCCCGGCCAAACCGCCGTCCCCAGGCCGGCGCCAGAGCGTTCCGCTGGCCTGAAGGTTTTGGCCACAAGCCATGTGGCTCCCAAGGTTTTGAGAGGGGCAGATCAAGCCCAAACACAATCCAACTCAAGGCCAAATGTCTGGTTGTAATTCAAGGAACAATCACATATGTTCCCTTGATTTCCAATATTAACCCATTATTTCAAATAGATTCTAGTGATATACATCAAAATAAACATACAATTATAATATACTACAACTGGGGATGGGTCAAAACCAAGAAATTACCATATGACTGGGGGAAATCACCATCCATCATCCAGCTATTTACGGTAGCGTTGGGGTATCGGCCTCCCGATAGGTCAGGGATCTCAGGCATGCCATGGACCGGCGCTCACCTGGGGATGGTAAACATACCAGCAAAATGGGGATGACTGGGGGATGGTTGATATGGCATTGGGTGTATCCCACATAAAAACATTGTTTTGGAAGGTGAAAAGTGGATCTGAAGCAGACTTGTCTGGTGAAAATGGATGAAAATGGCATGATACGCTGCCAGGAATGACAAATTGCAATCGGATATCCAAATGTCTACAGTGAAAACATGCGTGATGGTCAATCTAGAAAGGTGGGAAGTTGGGTCCTAGAAAAGTGAAAATGGTGTCATATCCCAGTATTTCGCGAGTTTCATCTCATGTTATATATATATAATTATATATATATATCGTTAAGGGCACTGTTTACTTGTTTTATCCAATTCTACTTCCATCGTTGATACACATGAACCCCAAGTAAGTGGCTTGTTCTCCATGACTTCATTTTTTTTTGATTGGGCATGGCTACATTGCTACGTTTGTTTAATGTTTGAATCCATTTAAAAAAAAACAAAACTATCCCATCCAATTGTAGATATTGTACTAGTTGGGAAATAGGTGGATATACAGTCTTCCTGTGTGGCTGCCATCCCCATTAGACCAAGTGGTAAAACGCACTACAAAATCGAACCAAAAGGGGCATGTTGAAGGGCTCATAAATGAGTCCATGATCGCTGGCCAAAACTGTCCATCATCTACGTGCCTTCAAGATGCAGCTTAACGATGGCCTCTGGTACCTCTAGGGCTTCCAAGTTCACCACCGAGGTTGGTCCCTTTGTGGATGACTTTCTGATGGAAATTAAGGGGCCGAGTCCAAGCTTTTTTGCACGATAAAACCCCACTGACTGGATCTATTCACTTCGCCATGCTTCAATGCTTGACCCTAAAAGTCCCAAGGCCCCCTATAAGCAGAACAGCCACTTGCAGAGTGGGACCAAAAAGGATATGGAAATGCCGAGTGCTTCTACAGCCGAGAAAGTTATGGAAATGCCGAGTGTTTTACGGTCGAGTGTTTTAAGAATAAAAAAAATAGAGCGCGTGTTGATCAATCAACATGCTTGATGTCAGCCAAGCTTGAACAATTGTGAACAACAATGCTCACGATTGCTCATGTCTCTCACAATTTTCTGCGTGCTTCATAGGTCTTAGTGTACCTTTTAGATCCTTTTAGGGTTTTTACTCGTGCCTTAAGGGTCCTACTCACGAAGACTAACCCTTTCCAAATCTCATAACTGACCTTTGGATTGCTGGCACGGCCGTTTTGGGGGCCCAACAGTCCAACATATTCCAACATACTTGTTAGTAAAATAGGCTTAAAAGAACAGTCTACGGAGGTGTTCTCCATCATTCCTTTTAATCCGAACTGCAATAAGAAGATCATTGTGGTAATCGTTTGTTTATGGCCACTTCTCCGGATTTAGCCAAGGGCCAAGACCTGAATAGTGCCACGGACTTTCAGGGCAAACGATGAACCCATCTTGATCGCTGATGTTTGTTCCTTGGGTGCCAAAATTTCCCCATTTTTTGCGCAGTCCCCGCACCAGCAGACCCGTCCCGTCGTGCCGTGCCAAAGAGAAGACTCCGAAAGAAGTCCAGCAGAGCAGCTTTGGCATCTGCCCATGGTGAAGTGGGGACCACTTCAAAAGTCATTCTGCGAGATCCCACGATTTCCCGCTCAAACATGAGGTTTAACGGTTTAACCATGGTCACTAGGCAATATATATATATATAATATATATATAATATATATATTATATATATATGCGATAGGAGTAGTTCTTCAATTAAAGCCCGACTCAGAATTCGGGCTCCAAACAAAGGGATGACGCATCTTAATCATCTTAATATCCATTCTTGCGGTGCAAGTCATCCAACTTCCTGGAGGAGCTGCAACCAAATCTCGCAGCAGCCACTGGCACTATGGCCCACAAGTATTTAAACGATTTCATAGTCCTGAATCGAAATGGAGTAAGCCGCTAAGCCAATCAGTCCCTCAGATAGAGTTCAAAGATTAAAAAAAAAAACTTCAGAATCTTGATGTGAACCCCATTCACAACACATATATGTATATAACATTTTATAACTGTGTATATATACATGTCAGATCATGTCAGCATAGGAATGTATCCACCACCCAGTCACCCTGGATATGGCAGTTTCGTTCGCAGAACGGCTCTGCGAAACCCTAGAAACTCATGGCCTGAACCATCGATGATGCAACCGGCCAGGAAGGGAACGTAGTCTGCCTCGACCCATTCGTAGGGAAGCAGTGTCAGAACCAAATTTGGATGGTAGATTAATAAATGTCAGATATGTTCTACCAATATGTCAGAACCAATTTTGATATGTCAGGTATGTTGTGCCCATAGGTGTCCAACATATCGAATAAAAATGAATAAAAGATACCGAGTGGGTTGTGCGCAGCTCAGCTACGCCATCATGCATGCTGGAAGCTGAAAGCATCCAAAATGGATCCCCAACCATATGTGGTTTACAGAAAGGGTTGATCTACAGAAAAATGAAAAGTATCTCATTCCCATCCAAAAAGCTGGATCAACGGGTTGATTCCAACAACCCATTGATCCAACCGATGGCTTTTAACCATCCAAAAATGGACGGCTCTGCAGGCATTGCCATCATTTCCTGCCTTGACATAGGGCGAGTAGTACAAGAGTTCCGAAGCCGTCCCAAAGAAGGCCTTTCGACAATTCAGAGCCGACCAACAAATCAGTTGGCTGAGACCAACCCAAAATGGGAACTTCATCAACAAAAATGGTGGATGAATGGGATTTAAATGGATTTAATAGGATTAGATAGGGTTTAACCATCAATTTGATGGTGACGTAACCAACCAAGATGTGTATTGATCAGATTCATGACCCTCTCGACTAAGAGGTGTGGTCGGCCATCTGTAATCGTTCCCCGAAGGATAGTACAAATGTTAGTCGCCCTGTTTGGCAAAGTTACGAAAAACGAGATTGATCTGATGTAGATCGAGATATGGGTATGGATGGGTATGGGTCAAAACCCTGGTTCCCTTCTGTTCACCCCAAAATAGCTGATGAACATTCATGTTTATCCGTTCATCCACCCAAATATTGGGCCCATAAACCATGCCCATATGGATGACAGACCAGGCCTCCCAAGAAGGCAACGGCGTGGGACGCTCCGCACGCCTGGCCTGCACGCTGTTGCTGTGTTGGATTGGTATAACTACCCTAAACTAATTGGTTCGGAATACCACATATAGATTGGTAGTATTATGTAAATAGTTATATATATATACCACGGTAATGCAATGGTAGTTATACCTAAACTAGTATATAATATAACTGTGTGTTGTCATGTAATTGGCGTATTGCCATCTATAGTCGTCATGTTTGGAACCTCGCGTCGTAGCTCCTTGGATCCTCCCAGTTCAGCCGCTTGGTAACAGAAACGACAAGTCCATTTTTCACCATCAAGCGCCAAAGATCTTGAGCAGTGCTCAATTATCCAGTGTCCAAGTTGTAATCCATACAGCAAAACTTGAGGGATTCGTGTCCAATGCTTTGAGACAGACGAGCCTTTCGCGAGGCCACCAGGCCAGTCGCATTGCCTGTCTCAGGCTCCTGCCAGGTGGATTCACCAATCTATCAGTTTGGTGATTTAAAAATATATATGACGTGAATCAACCAATAGTACAGTGATTAATCAGCAGTTTAATATAGTTTACTCAATATGATATTACTAATCAACCCGTGTATCAACCAATTCGTAGTTATTACCATCTGGTTGCCACGTTTTCGTCACATGACCTGCTCAAAACATGTCAAGAGTACCAATATGCAGCATTGCTCGCCGGACAAGAATCAATCTGGTGACTGGACAATTCAAAATTCTTCGCCCCCAACATCAAGCAAAGAAATCAAAGCAAAACTGCATCTGCAGATCTTCGATACAATTTTTCTTCCACGGCCGCTGCTGCAAAAATATGTGGGACAACACCTCAGCACCAACGACGTCATCATAACCATTGGTTTCATTGCCAGAAACTCATCAAATGAACAGAAAAGGAACGGAAAATCACACCCTCATCCCATCCTTCCCCCAGATCCTTGAGACCCTCTTCCTCGACTGCCAACTGCTCCGCATCTGGGGGCAGAGGATGTGGCAACAGAGCCTCACCGTTGGGACTCCGGGTGACCTCCATGAAATGTACCTGCTTGAAAACCAGAACCGTGGACCCTAAAAGGTTCACTCAAAATGAACAGTTGTTGAGTCGTTGAGTTGTTTTGTTTGCCAAAAGCTGGAGCTTATCAAGAGGTAGCAGAAAGTCTTCTCTCTATGCTGCTTCGATGCAAGAAACAGGAGAAAATGGACAAAAAGCATCGCCACTAGCAGCAGCATCACCATCACCTCCACCACCATAGCCCACCTGAAAAGCATCACGAAGGTCTTCGTGATCATCATCGCCTCGGATCGGTTGAGTGCCATCATGCCCTTGGCAACATGAGCATCCTGGGCCCACAAGTCACCAAACTCGTTCCATCTTGGCAGGAAAGGAAAGTCATGAAAATTCTGAGAAGCAGGTACACCTCCAAACGTCCGGACCTTCTTTGGACAGTTGGGCAGAAGCTGAAACATAGAGATTCCTCATGGTGACCAACAGTGACCCATTCGTCCCCAAATATGCCATAGCCATCATCATTTGAAGAGGTAAATCATCATTCAAACTATATATTATTGGGCCATGTTCCATAGCCATAGTGTGCAAATTACGGGAAGGATATACTGTATATGGAGGTTTCCTGAAATGGTGGTACCCTAAAACCATTGGTTTTAATATTAAAAGAGTCGAATTTGGATGATTTGGGGTCCCCATGACTTAGGAAACCTCCACATTTTCCCTCAGAGACCCCTTGGGTCCCCGAACCCAAATCTCGTGGGTCAATGTGCCTCACCCGCCCCGGCCAGTTCTGCAGCAGCCTTCGACGTAGGAAATCCAGGTAAGTGCCTCCCCAGGGCAGCCATGGCCCAATTGGGGGTACCAAGTCACCATAGGTTGACTTATACTAAAATGATCTAATGACTTGGATGATGTGTGGTACCCCTATCCCCATTTGTAGATGATTTGCCGTTTACCCATTAAAGTGGTAGTTTTCCATCATTATATATCTTCAATCACCAAAGGGTGACCCGACTTTCATGGGACATAGCGGCCCCAACGGCCCTAGCATTGGATGAGTTGGACAAATTAGCTGCCCAAAGAACTCCCAGGTTCCATGAGGCTGCTGAGGCTATGTGTGTCAGAATGAATGATGGTGACACGTTAATCGTAGGTGGTGAAACCCTATGTTTGGTTGGTAGGTATATGTCAACGTTCCGTGTTTTCGCATGGATCAAAATTATAGCCCCTCAAAAATGGATGGATTAATATTAAGAATGACTCATTTTGTGAGTCTCTGAGTACCCCATGTTTGGCCCATACCTACTGCAGATGCTTCTACCAGCACCTGTGCCATCGTCTGGATCCTTCTCGTCCTGGCTCCGGACCAATGGGGATACAGGATACAAGCAACAAATCATATGGGGATCACCAGTTTTGTCGATTCAATCCCCACTGTCTGTTGGTGAAACCCCGTTTTTTGTTGGTTGAAACCCGGTTTTCAAACCCAATTTCTGGATCGAATCCCTAACGAAAAATCTGTTGAAAAATCCCCTGCCTCCGAGTCGCCATCCGAGTCCAGCTCCAATCTCTGCAAAGCTTCGTGGGGCCGTGGCTCTGCCGGCTCTGTCGAAGGCTTTGGGAGGTGCTTCTCCTCGGCCGACGTGGTACCCAGCGGTTGTTGTTTTAATGGTGTGAAAAGGTGGGTAAAACCGCATGGTCGGAAGTTGAGGTGCCAATGTCATCCATGAATCAACTCATAAATCCATGAATGATACTGAAATTTGTGTATCTAACCATATGAAACATACTACGGACTTTATTTCAATGGGGCTTCAGCCAAGGAGTTGAAGAAGGGGGATTTACATGGGATTCGATCACTGATACAAGTAAGATGGAATCACAATGGATCTATAGGAGGATTCTGATAGGCGCTAGCTACATTTGGATTTGTCAACCAAGAAAGATGGGATCATCCACTGTCAAAAATCTTTGCTGGTGCACATCATGGCTAGTCTTAAATACAGTACCTGCAAAAGCTACAATTCGTAGAGGTGCCACTCCACTAAATACGGTTCTGCAGGCACACGTTTTTGCTATTTTTTTTTTTCTGGGCCGTTAATACATCCTCGTTGATGGCAAAAAAGAATAACCTATATTCTACCCTAGCCAAACCGGTGAACTAATCAACTATGCAAAAAAATCAGGTCCTGAATGTTATGGCCCAAACCCCGGTGCTCATTATGACTCCAATTGGAGTTGCAATTCTCAGTTGAAAAACGTCATTGGGGATCACCATGGATCACCCCCCAAGGCCTCATGGAATTCCACCTCACTGGCCGGCACGTGCGCCTCAATGACAACCTCCAAGCGTCGGCCTGGAGAGCTGGTGAAGATGGGTAGGTGATATAGCCAATATGATGCACACATGATGATATGTGTATATTAGAAATATACAGTATATATAATATATGTAACAATACATATAGAATCCGTATGGGGTATTTTACAGGTGTAAACTTCCCCTGGCCTCCATGTAGTTTGAACATTCTGTCTTTACCCAAAAAGAAAAGGCTATCCCAAAATGTTCGTGGCTTATTATCTGTGTTTATCCTCTTAGCTCCAAAATTTCAGGCTCCCCAATGTCTAAAGCCGTAGTTGGAGCGACCAAAAGAAACGCCACATCTCGCCTGGTTTGGGAGAGCCAGCATGTCGCAGCAGCCAATCATCAAAAAGCTCGATGCCTGGCCACATCTCCCGATGTAGCTCCATGAAGCCAATAAATTGGTCCAGAAAATGAGGTAAATATGGGATTTTGCCTTTTTTTGGAGTTCCATCCGAAAATTAAGGGGTGCAAATCGATAGATATGGGGTATACGGTATGACCAATCAAATGCAGATCTGAGGTATTGATAGGGGGATCTACAAGAGTGATCTCGGAAAGTCACGTGGGCATGACCAAGAATTGGCAGGGATAAGAAACATGGTAACAGGATGTTTGCCCATAGATACCGCACGTGTGGTCCCCCATGCCGGCAACAGAGACAGTGGCTCAAAATTCAAATCCGAACGGTTCACAAGTATCATTGCAGTGATCTAAAACCCAATGTTCCGCGTTTTCTTCCCCGTTTTTTGTTCAACTTTTAAGAGATACTGTGGATGGAAGAAATCCTGCACCAGTTGATAGGTGGTTTATCCCATTATTTATAGGGTTTCAATCATCCAAGGTGGTGCAGGATTTCTTCCATCCACCGTATGGATGAAAACCCTGGCACCCTTGTTTCATGACTGATGACATCCTCACATAAACCTCACTCTCCATGTGTGCCATCGTCAAAAGATGGTATATGGAAAAGATGGTATATGTTTGAAGGTCATCCATCCCATAGTGGGAATCCTTATAGTGGATGTGTATATATATATATACATATATATATATACATATATATATACATATACATATATATATACAGATATGTATATGTATATATGTATATGTATATATAAGTCCCTATTCATGGATTGATGACCATCCCCGTTTATGGGAAAACAAGCCACGTCTTTACCATGGCACGCATCGCATCTCTCAGATCAACCTCCCATGATGAAATTTCTCCATTTGGATGGGATTAAATTCATTAAAAAAGGTAAGTGTCCGTGGATATCATCCATTAAGTCATTAGTCAGTAATCATCCCTTATTAATACTGGCCATTAGTATCGGCTATCAGCCTTTAGGCTGATCGATCCCCGAATTCCAAACTCCCAACTTCCGCACCTTCAGCCAGCCTCGCTGCTTTGCGCGAGGCAATCAGTGCATCCTGGCATCGGGGAGGATCTGGGGCGCGAGTTATCGGGGGACCTGTTTCGAGCCACAATGTAGTACCAAGCAAATGCCATCAAGATAGGATACAAAAGTTTGAGTACGTTGATATATTTGGTCATTCTTGCATATGTTTGGTATTAAATGCACGAAAACAAAACTATCGCACCAAGTGACCCACAAAATCTGTCGTCTTTGGTAAAAACCATACATTTTGAGGAGATGATAATGTTGGCCACAGCAAACCGACGCTCTTGTAGGGCTACGCCAATCTCTTGAAGTGGTTCGTTGCTTGGGATCTGCATCATACCGGTCGTTGTGAAAACTATTGAGATTATGGTATGGTCCACTAGGAATACCGACCGGCATTGGTACATGAGTAGCAGACAAAATTATATGTTAAATTTAATGCCATGCACAAATTAGGCTCGTCCCCTATCGGTTGTGAGGATTTTAGTATTCCCGGAGGTATCACAAATGGGGTATCGGTATAGGGTCGTCCCTATCGGTTATGAAGGTTTTGTGCAGCCTCGGAAAGGCCAAGGCGAAACCGGTTACTCATATGTGTCTTTGTCGCTTCTGATGACCTGTTTTGTAATCATGCCACCCGGATTCAACAAGTTACACATGGGAGAATCCCAACAATGAATACAAGTACTTGCTAATCCTTTTTTGGGGATCCGAACTCTCTTAACACGATGGACTAGTCCAAATGCAAGCCTCTGACTCTTGATTTTTGCCATTCAGAAAGCTAATGCAATCAGCTTCAAAGTCAGAATCAATTGGATCATCATACGATCTGACTCATGGCATTTGAACTCATCACAGGAATGAATCTCCGCCCAAACATCCGGCCATCTGCTGGTAGATTCTTCACCAGCGGTGATCATTAAACCCACATTTGGGATGGTCTAATTAGTAAAAATCCTATAGTGTTTCTGCTAGTCAATCGTTCTCAAAAATGAAGTCTAATTCCCGAACAAAAAATGAACCAAGTAAAAATTAATCAATCCTCGAAAACTTAGGCAGTAAAAGGCCCTATTAGCATCATCCTTTCACGGCGACCGAAGTCGCCATGCACCGAGGCACGTGTTCCTCCACAGGGATCTCCTCCCCACGCAGGCGCCGCTTGTTGTAATTCTCCGCCTCGCGAACCCAGCCACCAAGACATGGGATATTGTTGATACGTAAAGATATGATCAGATACTACTTGTATATGTGTGTGTGTGTATGTGTGTATGTGTGTATGTGTGTATGTGTGTATGTGTGTATGTATGTATGTATGTATGTATGTATGTATGTATGTATGTAGGTAGGTAGGTAGGTATGTATGTATGTATGTATATATGTATATATGTATGTATGTATGTATGTATGTATGTATGTAATGTATGTATGTATGTAATGTATGTATGTATGTATGTAATGTATGTAATGTGTAATGTATGTAATGTATGTAATGTATGTATATGTAATGTATGTATGTATGTGTATGTAATGTATGTATGTATGTATGTATGTAATGTATGTAATGTATGTAATGTATGTATGTATGTATGTATGTATGTATGTATGTATGTATGTATATAATACATATATATACATATACATATATATATACATATACATATATATATATACATATATATACATATATATATATACACACTACTTTATATTTGCCAAATACAGAATCTAAATGTTCAATGTAATTACACAACTCTATCTCACCAAGGTCAGAACACGACAGGCAGCTGCTTCTGGCACCTCCTTATCTAAGTCAGACCACTCGAAGACTTGCAGCTTGGGTGTTGTCACATCTGCCTCGATTGGTGCGATTCTTGATGGCTACGTGGTATAACCATGCTAAACTAAAGCCGACTACCCTCTGGTCATTTGTTTGCTATGAAAACTATGACCCATTTAGTTCGATTATTTACCTATTATATACAGGTGATGTTCAATAGCCATATTAGGCTCCAGGATTAGCGTGCATCCGTGATGGACACGGGGATTGAGGCTTGGCAAGGGATTTCCCATAATTATTGGCCATGCCATGTACCCACGCAACTTAAGTAGAACTGCACCTCCAAGAGGGGTTCCCATCTCCACGGGATCAAAGTTAAGGTCTCTCGGGCAACATAAATTCTGGATCGCTTGTGTCATGTTAAGTATGTTTATCTTCTGTGTATCGCTTAAAATTGGATACCCCTTGAAAAGGGATTTCTCAGTCCCCTCCATTTTTGCGCACACCCAACTTGATTCCTCGGCATCAAGACCTTCCCGATGTTGCTGGCAATATCGTACAAATTGTATACAAACTGTATTGTACAACTGTACAATATGCATTGTAATAGCTGTGAGTTGTCATTGTGATCCCTGTCACGTCCTCAGCAAGGCATCAGATCTGCTCCCAACCGGCCAAGCTTCAATCGGAGGAGGCGAATGGGGTCCCAAACGAGGACTTCTGTGTGGCCTTGCACCATGGCAACGAGCATCAAATGCGTATGGGGCAGAGTTTGAGAACCAGCCACAGAGATTGGTTGTCTTTCTTCACAAGTTGGATGGGAATGTCCTTTTCTTCCAATTAGACTATATACAGTACTCAGATCTTTTCCCCCGTTCATCATTTCCATCCCATATTGGTTGACTATAAATTCCATTCTGAAGTCTTTTTGTCGAAGCTTAAATCATCAAAACATGATCAACCTCCCAAGCACCGCCATAGAAATTATAAGTAATCATTCCAAGTCCCTATAGTCATATATGTAGATGCCTATATATATCATATGAATTCATATGATATAATCCCCATTAATATTTGTAGATGCTTATATTACTTATATATCTATATAATCAAATAACCCTGATATGATCCATGTGAAATCCCCATCGAATCCCCATCATGTGGCCTCAGATGTGGACTGTGCCGATGCCAAGGTTGACTGGGTCGATAGACGCGCGCCGTTCCCTTGGCGCCCGGCCGATCGCCAGCCTGCGCAGGGACAGGCAGGTCCCAGGTGGAACCCTGAAGTTCGTGGTTCAACCGTTTACCCTCTGGTTATGTCAAAATAGCTATTGAAAATGACCATTTATAGTAGATTTTCCCATTAAAAATGGTGATTTTCAATAGTTATGTTAGTTTACCAGAGGGTAAACCACCCCTTTTTTGTGTGGATCATGTTGAATCACCAATGCTGAGATTCCCATCTGTCTGAAAAAAGAGTCTGTTAAGTCACCATTTTGGTCGGCTGAGTCACCGTTCCCCGGCTCATTAGATCCCCATTTTGGTTTAAACCAAGGGCCACTCCACTGCTCCACTGCGCCGATGCCCAAGTCTCCTGGAAAATCAGCTTAGCACCGATCAGGTCATCTTCCTCGCTGTCCTGGTGAAGATAACTGGTTTAACCCACCAAAATGGTGGTATCATGGGGAGATCATCACGATTCAATGTCTTTGAATGGTGATTTATATCATGATAGTTGGGGGATATAATTGGAAAAATTGGGAAAATACAGGAACAAAATTGTGGTGCATTAATGGAATTATTGATGGGTCACCCTCTGGCAATTTAACAGTTTGCTGACTCGCAAACCATCAGTTCTTAATGGTAAATCATCTACGAACGGGCCATTTTCCGCTATGTCAAATTACCCGATAGTAGCATGGAACGCCCCAAAACAATGAGATTGGAAAGGATTGGAAGTTGCTTTTCAGGATAGGATGAACACAATTTGCCGTCCCATGTTGTGAAGCTGGTTTAAATCCGTAAATTTCATCTTGTACAGTTTCAGCCGCTTCGACGGCAAACTCATCCACAAAAATGGTCAGAGTTTCGGGGAGACCATCTGCAGCAGCAATATAAAGGCTGATGTTCAATTCAGACCTTGAATCTCCAGAAATTGATCCCATGCTCCCAACATTCAATACCCCCCCAAACAAAACTCTGGTAAGTTTAGCATTGGATCTGTTCCTGGATCAGGGGTAAGTTATGCCCTTCCAACTGCCAACCGAAAGTCTCCCCGTCTTCAGCCTGGGACACCCTCCCATCCCATCCCATCCCATCCCATCCCATCCTCATGTTTCTTGCATAATCCCCATGTTCGCTGTTAAAAACCCCATTTTTGTTGTTTAAATCATTATAATCACTCCAAATCCCTGGATCCCAGTTTTCCTAGTGATAATGTCATACATTATGTTCTAACGGATTTTAAGATTAATATTGGTCATAGCAACCCCCAAATAGATAGAAAAATTGCAAATCCGCAATGTGGGAAGTCATCATCTATGACTGGAAAAGCGGTTGTTGTTTGCGACCCCTAGTAATCCAAAAAGATACAAACATTCGATCCTACTAAAATGATGATAAATCATTTGTTTTATCTAATTTTTGGGTTACTAGACTATATATAAGTGGAATATAGCTGGTAATGTATATATATATATAGATAGATATAATCATGTTATAAAAATCAACAGCATGGCTCAAGGCCTCCCCAAGCTCTCCTCCGCGTCATCCACCGTCTCCGCAGCCCAGTTCTTGGCGCCTTTCAGCGTGGCGCAATCCTTCGTGGCCATTTGCTGCCCGAGAGCCTCCGCGTGGTCGCCCACAAAGTGCCAGCCCTGGTGGAAAAAACTGAGGGGGAGCAGCATATGGTGGAGTATACTGGATGTGTAATGGATATGTAATGGATATATGCATAAAATCATCTTAGCAAACCTGAAGATCTGATGCTGCAAAAATCTGCAAAATTCTCAGGAAATCAGCGCCCTGACCTCCTAACATCTCTGATCAACATGTCTCTTGTACTGCGCCTGCGAAATGCATCTTTGCAGATCCTCTGCAAATTTCCCGCGCCTGCCATCGTTTTTGGAGATGCTACAAAACCCTGACGCTTTGCTCACTTTTGGCAAGATGCAGATCCCTTGCGCCTGCCACGCAAAACCACATCTGAACCTTCAAAAGTGGTCCGAGCATGTGGTGCTTTTAACGTTTTGACTTGGAAATTTGCTTCGCACCACAACAGGGTGCACTTCTTCGACATCTCAACTTCCAAAAGTGGTCCGACAATAGTGTGTTTTGTACATTTTGACTTGGACACGTGCTTCGTGCCACAACGGCGTACACTTTTTCGACGTCTCAACTTCCAAAAGTACTCCCAGACCGTCAGCTCTTCGCGCCACAACGACGCGCGCTTTTTCGACATCACAACTTCCAAAAGTGGTCCGACGTTGGTGTGCTTTGTACGTTTTGACTTGGACATGTGCTTCGCGCCACAACGGCGTGCAACTTTTCATCTCTCATCTGACCACATGGCTCCGCACCCGCCGCTTTGGCAAGCCTACTTTTCGACCCTCCGGAGCCACAAATCATGGGAAAAACACAGTGTTGCGCGACTTTGCTACCTTTTCGCGCACCCGCATCTTTGTCTTCTGACTCTTTCCCTTCCCTGATCTTCTTTCTTCTTTTCTTCTCTTCTCTGACTCTTCCCACCTCTGCTTTTCATCTGTCCATATTGTCGGAAGTTTGACATCTAAACTTTCTTCGATAGATAGATAGATAGATAGATAGATAGATAGATAGATAGATAGAGAGTAGAGAGATAGAGAGATAGAGAGATAGAGAGATAGAGAGATAGAGAGATAGAGAGATAGAGAGATAGAGAGATAGAGAGATAGAGAGATAGAGAGATAGAGAGATAGAGAGATATAGATATAGATATAGATATAGATATAGATATAGATATAGATATAGATATATATGTTGTACACATATATATATATATACTTACATATATTAGGGGGAATTATCCAGAATACACTGGGAATACAAATGATAATACAATGGGAACATAGTTGGAATCGTGCGCTGCCCAATAGAGCATTTCAGGAAATCGTCATTGGAATACAATATCATCGACAATCAATATATCCCAGAATTGAATGAAGGGAACATCTGGAGGAAGGCCCTGTCTTTCAGTTTAAAATGTCCGTGCAGCCAACTCAACGGAGTCAATCGTTTTGAATCATACCCAGATGGGCTTGAAAGTCAAATGTAAACGTTGTAGAACAAGCAATGAGTTGTGCAGATTGGATAAGGATTGCACTGAACTCTGTGCTCGGAAGAGGGGATTTCATTCGGAAATGCGAAATTGCCCCAAGAATGCCAAAAGTGACAGTACACTCAGTGTCTCAGGATTGCAAAACCAACAAATCGAAACTGTTTCGTTCATAATCTTCATACATCCGAGGTGTCCAGGCGCAGCCAGCCTTCTCGGGTTCGATGACGCACTTCTTCCGGGTCAAGTCCAGCGCATCTTCATGGGACTGCGACCGCTGGGTCCCATCCCCCGGTCATATGAGTTACACCCGCATGGTTAATGGGTGCCAAAGATGTGTCTTTATCATTCTTTATCCCCTACTAACCATAGTTTCTGGGGGCGTGCGGAAAATTAGGCGGAAGGGATCAGCTGGTTAGTCATCCTGGTTTATATTGCTATTTATTGCCACGGCTATATACCTTTTAAGTATCGTCTCGACCCAATGGAATTCTAGAAGATGTGCCCATACCCTGCCCTGATGTTCACACTCCCAAAAATCTTGCCGGAATATACAGACTGCGTTGGGGTCTGAGTCAGTAACCCCTCTCCACCAATGAATCATTCCACTGTTTGGGCGATACTATACATTGCGTGGGAAAATTCAGGTTCGCACGTGGAATGGGTCAAAACCCTTCAAATGGACGGAGATTCGCCACATGGCTTAGTCTCAAAATAGCCCAAACACTTGATGGTTGATCATCATTTTCCCATCATCTCACATTCATATACTGGGGTATACCCCGTCATCCGTGTCCGAGAAAAAAGGGGGCTGGTATGGTATATATACCAATATTATCATTTACAGTATATACCCATTGATTGTTGTAATACGGGATGACCCCTCTATTGATCAAGCAACGAGAGGGAAAAGGAACATCTCTGCTACCCCGACTGATTAAACTTGACTAAACTGATTAATCACTTGGGTATGGATCAATACCTATTAATACCATTTTTAGGGGGATGAACATCCATTTACCAGCTATTTTGATGTTCACCAGGGGTACCAGGGTTTTGACTCATAGCCACTTGACTAAATCCATGGATTTCCCCATGATTCCATGATGATTCCATGGTGATTTTCCCCATGGCGACAACTTGGCGTAACCGGGTAACCGGGCGGCCGATCCCCTCCTCACCACAGAGGATCACCGCGACCGAACGCCCCAGCAGCTCACCCCGCAAGGTGCGAATCCACTCGGGGCCGCAGACGTGGTGATACGCCTGGAGGACGAAGGATTGATGGCGGTTTTTTGTGGGTAAGGTTCAAAAAATAAAGAGAAAACTTCGAACCTTAAGTCTTGTGATTTTCAGTTGTTTTCCCAAAAAACCTTTTGCTGTCAAAGGTGATAGCTGTGCAACTGGGAGTTTGAATCACGGAAAATGGATAGGTTCACAACCAAATATTGTGATATCATGGAATGTAAGCAGCCAAAGTTTTAAGACCAAAGACCTCGCCGATCGGATGTTTGGAGTAATGGGCTACTATACTACCCACAAAATTGGTTATTGTACGCAGTGAAGCAAACCAGTCTTGATGGTGAATATTCTCAAGCGATTCCTTTGTTGCACTTAGTAACTACAACGATTGTAGGCCATCATATTTTGCAAAAGCTACTCGGATGATTTTGGTTCGTGCGACTTTTGTCCAAAACTGTGGGATGATGATGTTCTCCACCATGAGAATGTTCGTTCTCCACTATTTATACCCTCTGGTAATTTAACATAGCTATTGAAAATGACCATTTATAGTGGATTTACCCATTAAAAATGGTGATTTTCCATAGTTACGTTAGTTTACCAGAGGGTAATTATATAACCGTTTCTAGATGACTAATTTTGAAACACAACTGAAAATTGCCATCCATCACAAGAGGACTAACCAACATCGCCAAAAGGGTGTGTAAGAATGACGGAACTTGCAGAATCACAAGGTAATGGTAGACTTTTGCTAAAAATGTGTACATGCGCCGGATCATTTTCTTTCCTCCCATTTCTGGCCATGACTTTGCTAAGACTTAACATGTTGTTTCAAAATCGGATATATCATTGTGACATCATTGGGAAAAGCCCATATATTATATTTCTTGGAAAATATTATCCCATATAATCCAGATTATAGTATTTATGTGTCCCATTGGGAAATCTATTATCAACAGTTTCATTGGGAAAATATCATATAACATTGTCATGATATATCATGTGATATCATGTATTATAATATGTATATATATATATGGTACCCCCCCCCAAGACCGACCTTTTTTGCTGCCTTGACTTCTTTGCATAGTGTTGCCCATATAATACAATCAAAATAAATGTATCTATATAATATCATCCCACTCATGATCAAGACTTTTCCCGATGATAAATCCCATGGATTGCGGAAAAATCCCTGCGCAGCGACTCACCGACTCGCCGACTGGCGCACAGCCGCCTGGCTGTGCGCATACGCCAAGCCCTTTGAGAAGCTGCGCAGACGTTGCAGGCCACGAGGCCTGGGAAATCGCCACCGGAGGCGGCGATAAATATCCAAGAATGGGTGGTTTTTCAGCATCCAAAATGGGTTCTTGTTGGGAGGTTCATCATCAACATCGTGGTTTAACAATCAAAAATAGCTGTTTAGTTTTTTACCATCAAGAATTCTGCGGGGTTGAAGCATCAAAACTAGCAGTTTAACCATCCAAAATTGGTGTTTGACCATCCAAAGATTGGATGTGTATGGATGCTGAACCAGCCGAAACATGAGGGTTTGACTGACTCTACAAAGGTTGGGGCCTGCAATCACTGGGGATATTATGGGATATGATGAGCTATAAACCAACCATTGAGTGGTCGTATTTATTCAATGAAAACATTATAGCCAAAAATATGATATGTGTATTGGTCCGCAAATCGGGGATGGGCCCCAACAAAATGCCCTCAAAGAATAGGATACTGATGTTCGAACCATTGGGGGTTACCCATTTTTGGACATCCACCTCCTTTTTCAACTTAGGATTCAAGGATTCAAGTCTGAAGATGCTTCTTTCTGCAGTAACCAAAGATTTCCAAATTGTTCCAAGCATAGATTCAGAATCAGGGATTCGAAGGAAATGTTGCCAATCTTTAGATGTTATTGAATTGAAAAAGGTCTGGCATTGCTGGCATACTCAGTTACATAGGATAATTTGACCCTGTTGCGACGAGTCTTTCTGAGTAGAATGATGTTTACCCAGTTGGGATGAATTTTGAGCAATTGATATGATAATCTAGTTGGACTCCACGATCATGTGAAGAAACGTACACAAATGTTGCAATAGTCAGTAATCATATATCCGGACTGGGATTACATCAGAGAATTGTCGGTTGCCCTGATAGGTTTCAATGGCGCAGGTCCCCAATTAAGACTATTCCCCAATTATCATCCCCATACATACATACATACATACATATATATATATATCACCACTAGGTAGATGATAATAAATGGTGATTTAAAATCAGTGATATATATATATATATATATATATCCCATTACTATCCAAATATTGTCACCATATATTCTCCCATTACTCGCCAAGTTTGAGCCCCACCTCTTTTGCGCTGATGGGTTCGACGCAGCGCGGCGCTTCTTTGGCGCGCTGTCCCCATGGCTTTCGACGCCGGACATGTCCGGCACAGCTTCGGACGGGGTTTGGGTCAAAACGAAATAACTCTGCCCCCGTGACTGGGTGATCTTCCCAACAATCACCTGGATGACCTTGTTGTAACTGAATAAATGTCCAACACAATCTTGCCCCAATGATTTGTGCGAGGGCCGGTATGGTCTAGTGGATAAGACGCATCCCTCATGCGTCAGACCCGGGCTCAATACCCGGGTGCAACACTAGGCGGACAGGCGGGCCACGACCCCACCCCTGCAGTTAAGGGGATGAGCTAGGGTGTGGTCCGTAAAAACAGTCTCCAATGATTTGTGCCCGGATGTTCATTTACAAATCTTGATCACTTGGCAGCTGCAGCTCCAGATCTTGCAATATTTTGGATGCCAATTTCTATGATCTTTGATGCTTGGACAATCGTGGATCCCTTGCAAAGGTAAATGGTCTGAATTCCAATCAACTCATAGTTCCCCCTTTTTTTGCTATGATGCTATAACTATAACCTTATGTATATGTACATTTATATGTGTCTTAGGGACCCACCATTGTATGACCAAAGCCTCATGTGAAGCTTACTGCTTTCTCAGCTGGCCTTGGAACCACATCGTGTCACAGGAGCAAAAATGACACTGTTTTATCCAAAACAGGGGACATTCCCAGCCTTGGTTCATACTTAAGTTTTTTGTTGCCCAAACAAACTATCGTTTTATTATGTTTTATTTCTCTTTTTGTTGCCATTTCATGTTTGGTTTGTTTGAAAATAGAATAACATCCCCAATTCCACTGGATCATCATAAGTCCCATTACTGGCCATTTACTGGTGGTTTTTGACCCTGCTCAGCTCTCTTTTTAACAGAAACAGCGCGTCGCGGTGAGCCGCGGTGACGGGCAGCTGCTGAGCCTCACCCCGGAAATCTTTGGAGGCGGAGGCACAGCATACCTCGCAGCAGCACGTGTGGGAAAGGTACCTGCATAGTGGTGATCCAAGGAAACTAGGGAATTCACCAGCAATTCAATGGAGATGTTGCGAAGTGGATTTTTTGCGAAACCATTCGCTTTGCAAATCTTGATATGGATTTTCTGGGCCAAATGTTCCATTGAACCAATCCTGGGAATCTTATTGGTTCGTCCAGCCATGCCAACAATACCAGAACAGATCATCTTTGTAACCAAAATGGAACCACTGCCCAGATATTAAGCCATTTACCAGATGCATCTCGATGGATTTGCCCAAGGAGCTGGTATTGTAACGTTTTTTCCTTACAGACATCCGTTTGAACCATTAAAAATACTCCCTATCCCATCTCATTGTACTAGTTGGTTAATAGGATTTCCTAATATGGGTTATATACATATATCTAGATATATCCCCAAGAACCAGGTATAACTCCTGACAAAACTCCCATCACCTCAGTTCCGGGCGTCAGTTTGATGGCTCCTGGACCAACCGTGGCACCGTGCGCACCGGTCATTGGTGATCTGGACCAAGCGACTGGGTCTTGGGCTCAAACAATGCAGGAAAGAGCATGACTTGCCAGAAACGTCTAGGATATATCAGCAAAATTAGAGCTCAAGAAAGTGATGTTTCTGAGCAAGTGTGTGTCACATGAAATGTCATAAGAATCTGTGTCTCCCTGGGTCTGAAATTCTAATCTATACCTATCTTGGTTCATTCAATCCCCGATTGTTGCGCCAAAATCAGTGCAATCCATTGTTTTGTTGGCTAAGTTGTCCATCTTTAATGTGGTTGTTGCTTCACTGAGTTATAATCCCCTCCATTTACAGTTATACATCCCATGTAATACCCATTTGGTTGGTTTAAAATAATACAAAACGCTCCTGAGAGCCCCAAGGATGTAGTGCCCGTCTGGGCCTCGGCGTCGCTGGATGACCCATTATAAAATGGGGCATGAACACTGTGAACACCATCCAAAACAGGGGTCATTTACCCTCCAGTAAATTAACATAGACCCTGGCAGACAGGGGTTGGAAGACTAGTTTCCACTATAAATTGGTGATTTTCAGGGTCTATGTTAATTTACCAGAGGGTAAGTTTTTCACATGACAAAAGTGGCATGAGTCTAGGGATGGACGTGGCATGAGTCTAGGCCATCACCACTGCTTTTGGAGTCTCGTCTAGTCTCCAGATCTCCACGACTCAAGGCTACGACGTGTCCCCCAGTGCATTGATGGGATTCTGCGAGTAGAACTCGTTCAAGGCCTGTATGATCTGTATGTCCGTCACAGAAGCCAGAAACTTGTAAAATGTTGAGGAACCTGTATCAATACATGGATGGGATATTAATGATACAATGATATACAACTAATCAAAACCCATTATTACATATGATTACCATATTTTAATACAAACAGCCGGCTGTTTCCACAACTCAGGAATGTCCCGGCCACTTAGCTTCCTCCCTGTTGAATAAGACCCTGCCTGCGGATCTCGTAATGGCGCTTTACCTCATTTTTCGGCCAGAATGGCACCCCTCACCACAGCCCATAAAGTGAAATAATATGATCAATTCATGAAATCCCATAGGCCCCATAGTCGCAAAAAAATGTGTAAATCCCCTCCTAAACCATGGTTTCCAGGGAATGCTTAATAGGGATTTAAAATCAAAACTAGCAGGTTGGCAGTGGTTTGTCTTGAACCCACTGAGCATCGGACAAATCGATTCAGGCAAGCCCCTCAAGCTGTTGGGTCGCAGAACGTTCTGTGCGGCAGCTTTGCGAATGCTGATCGACTGGAACCCCACATAAGCACGTTCCAAATGTCCTTTTGAAGTGGTTGTACCCTTTGGTCAACAAGGATGCTTGTGACCCATAGGGATGAAATACAATACATGATATTCTAACGCTAGGCAATCAAAACTGCTCAAAATAAGCCTTTTTGTAGGTGTTCCCCCTCACTAGCCATCCTGTGTCTTTGGGTCCTGGTGAGAGCATTCAAAATTAGCCAAATCCCTACAAGGACATACACATGTCTTTTCGCACTTAGAAATGTGTACATGCATATGTGTATATATATATTTATTTATATCTTATATCTACAGATTTGCATGTATATATATATATATATGTGTATGTATAGTGTATATGTATATAATGTATATGTATATAATGTATATAATGTATATGTATATATATATACATGTCATGCCTCATGTAGTGTATATATAGTAGGTATATTCACAGCCAATTGTGGGCCACTTCATACCCATCTTCCATGGCTGGGCCCAGCCTGGTCGACCTCTGGCTCTGCTGGGCCAGCAGCCTCTAAAAGAGATGGGCTCGAGTTTTCTTGATAATGGTGATACAACAAGATTCGATGAAGATTATTTTGATATATTCCAATAATTTGGGATTGGAATGTCAAATCTTGATCCCAAATTGTTGGAATATATCAAAATAATGGTGATACCCCGTACACACTGATTTGATATTCCAATCCCGCCCCATCATCGTTGGAATCCCATGCCTCGATCATATGACCCGGAAAAGATCCAAGACTGAACCGGGGGTTTCTTTTCAGACGTACGTATTGAGGGGAAGCCATTCTTGAGCTCAACAAAAAACAGAAAAGTAGTAATTCAACACTATTTAACACCATTTAACACTATTTTCTATGCATTTTCTATGCATTTCTATCTTTTTAGGGGGGTGCCATATAGCCAAATTTACTCAGCTCCCCATGCGCTCCTCTGAGGTGGTGGGCAAGTCGCTGAACCTGGGTCAGTCATGGGCACTATCCTGGAGATTCAAAGTGATTTGACTGGAATCCATAGCGATCCATATGCCCATGTCTATATATATATAGATAGATAGATAGATAGATAGATAGATATACATATATATATATACATACATATATATATATATACATGCATACAATACAATACAATACAATACAATACCATACCATACCATACCATACATACATACATACATCAATACATACATACTATACCATATCTATATATATATAATACCATTTTTAGCTGTCCACGTTTGATCCAAAAAATGGCCAAGCTGGGCGCCCCAGGCCCCACGGGACTCGCTTCTCCGCCGTTTCGGCGCTCCTTCTCAAGCCTCACTGCCTCCTCCCGTTCCTGTCGGGATGGAATCACTGGGAAATGGCCAGCAACAGGGATGTTTAACCATCAAAAATGCCAGGGGGGTTGAACCAAAATTGGAGGTTTATTGATCAAAAATGGAGGATAATCGGATAAACTAACAAAGCTTGCGGGTTTAAGCAACGAACATCTTGGTTTAGCAAGAATCTGGATCTAAAAATCGGAAAAATCGACAGAAAAATCGAGGTGTTTCCAAGCATTACGCAGTTACAATTCTTCCAAATATGGAGGTGTCCCAATGGCACCATGAGATCATCCCAATGGCACCTCCTTGCTGATAGGCTGCATGATTCCCACCGGGCCCACCTGTCAAGGCGGGCCAAATGTGTCGTGAAAAAAATCCATGGAGAATTGATCAAACATTTTATTATGGGATTTAGTATATTTAATAGTGATATAATATATATTTTCTTAATATGTATATATATATAGTGGATTATAGTGGGATATAGTGGGTGTGTCCAGGCATGGGCTATGCCAGTCAAACTTGCAATTCTAATATTCTAATACAATTAATACATGTTGATTGGGAAAATTATGTTAGACCATCGGGATTTGGGGGCATCCAGTTTGCAGACAAACGCATATTCCCTCCAGAACCCTTAAGAGGACTGTTGACAGGCACCTCACTTGTGCACACCAAACTGGTGGTCCACCAAGTATATAACTACACAGCCCAGCTCTTTGTGGAAAAGCCACCAAACCAAAATCACGTGCATTCAAGGAACTTTGAAAATGTCATTGTCATTGTATTACTGTACTTACCTGCTGCAGAAACCCTTTTTCTTCCGCATGTTAGACACACACCCGAAATCCAACGTGGAACCCAGAAACTCCCATGTCCAACTAGAAAATCTTCAATCTTCTTTCTCATATATCTTTTGCAGCTAGTTGTATGTTGCATTTCACGGCGATAACAACAGCAATTTCAATAAGTCAATCACCAAGTATCATGGGATTGGGGAGAGGTCAAATTATCAACCCCAAACCTATGGTTTAAGGTGTTTATATAATACATCAAATGACCAGCTTTTGTGGGTCCAAGCTGGTACCGCAAAAAAGTTGCCACATCCTCAAGATTGCCATCGTCATGAAAACTAATGATATTCCCCAAGTTCCCATCAAGAAAAGATGTTTTGAGTGGAAAATTCAATGAGTCCCGTTTTTTTTCGCAGGTTTTCCAGTCAAAAGAATGAAGCCTTCATGGGAAGGAAGATCTTGTCACTGATGCGAAGCCATTCGCCACCACCTTCAACGACACCCTCCACCTTAGCCGCGTAAAGCTGTGCGCTGCAGCTGAGGATGGGTCCGTTTGAAAATTGATGTTTCGAATGATTCGAATGAATGAAGCTGATGGAAGGTTGCTGGGAAGTCAATCTGTTTCTTGGTCCATATCAAGTTTCGGTTGGACTGTTCACACTGGTTTTTTTTCAACATCCTTTGGATGGACCAACAAAAACAATTGGCTATCATTCCAAAAGTATGCACCAACAAAGATATGGTAAATGGTTTATCCCATTTCTGTCCCATATTTTGCAGGTTTATCTTTACCAATAGTGAGCAACTCGTGCAGGATTTTGTCCATCCACAGTCATAAATCCCAGCAGAGGTGAACTCTCCCTGAGGTGGATGCAGTCTGGCCTTGTTTTGCATAGCGACTGTACCTGACAACCAAAACACAGATCGAGACCCTGAGTCTCACAGTGTTTATCCGTCAATAAAATTACAATGATTGATAACTTCACCGCTGTGGTCACAGGGTCAGGAGCTGGCTTTTCAAATTATTCCGGAGCAAAACTTAACATGTTCTTCGATCTCCACCACAAATCTTGGAGAAACAACGGAGTCGTCGCACCTGTCGTCCAAATGCATCGACCTGGTGATCATTTTCACAAGGCAAACATCCAGGAACATGAGGAGTTCTAAACCTGGGTCTGGTGAAATATCCCATCATTGTGAAACGATGGTGGTGGGCAGGGTAAGTTGTCTGATCTCCACCTTCACTGGTTTCATCCTGCATTTGAATCAAACCGTGAAGGTGAAAATCCGCATGTGTTTAACAATCAAATCATCCAAAGAATATGTTTGTGAACCATAAAAACATGCAAGGAATGTCTTCAAGAGTATGCAAAATCATCCAGGAAATAGTTTTGAGTAGCAAAATGATCCAGAAAGTCCTAAAATGATCCAAGACGTCTCAGAAAGTCTCAGTTCCCATTCAATTTCATTGCAATCTCCTCCCCAAACACTGGGTGCTGCGCTTTCGGAACTGAACGCCCGGGTAAGGAGATGGCACCTGGCTGCCAAAGGAACTGAGGAGGGGTCAATAGCCCCTGGAAAATCCTGGGTCAACGGGGGTTTTCATGCATAGTCACACATGTTCTCTACAAATGGAAGTATCACACTCAGAAACCACCATCATATGAATCATGTCTTTGTTGCACAATTTTGCAATTTTTCATGTGATATGTCTACTGGGTTAAGCACCCCTCGGATGGTTTGGAAACAAAAAAATGCAGCGAAAAAACGCCTGAATGCGGAAGTACTGCAGGCCAATGCCAGGTTCCTGAAAGGGGACAGGAGGATCTAATGGAACTGCGGAAGGTGAAATGAAAAAAAAAAGATAAAAAAAAGTGTCTCTGATTTTCAACAAATGCCAGGTTCATCGTTCCCCCGACCAAAAAATCAACCATCAAGTGGTGGTTGGGGATATCAGTGCCGGCCTTGGAGATCACCCTCGAAGTAGTCCCTGGTAATTATTCCCAATAAGGGTTGAAGGTTTGTACAACAAATGGCATGCCACTTATATACTATCATATATATATATATATATTCAGAAACTTATATCAGAGTCATAAGATCCGGTTGTTTATTGGGATTTGAGTGATTTGAGTGGGATCACTCAGCCCCAGCAGTACGGGCTCCAAACACCGGCGCCTGCATTTGCGCGGAACCAATCACCTGGCATTGGCTCCACATTTTTTGCCCACGTGGAATGCTATCTCAGGATTTCAAATCACACAAATGAACCCCACTTGTACCCCCCAAATTGGTCCAGAGTGTACAAAGAGTGTAGGAAATCACAAAAGCTCTTCCAATCTCCAATGTTTTTTTCTATATCCCTCGAAATAACCCAAAAATACAATATACTGCTTCATTGGTCTCTTCGCTCAACCATCGATAGGATAGCCAATGGCTTGACCTAAACTGGTCACATAGAACAATTAATTATGGGCACCTGGCTCACACCCGTTTATGCAACATAGTGTATTTTTCATTACATGTGTATAAGTTATCTGCACGGATTTCGCACCAAACGTATGTCTCGCGGTCGCTTCATGTTGATCTCCATTATTGGTATCTGGGTTCGGGGAAAAGTCATGCGTCAGTCAATTCGTATTCACACCCTGCACGCATTCTGCGGCTATATACAATACATATCAGGTATACGCGTTGTACATATATATATATATATATGGCAACAGGCACCCCTATGATCTACCTTTTACTTTTGTTTTGTAAACTTTTCTAAATATTCTAAATATCTTAAATATTCAAAATATTTAAAATATTCCAAATATTTCAGATATTTCAAATATTTCAAATATTCTAAATATCTTAAATATTTCAAATATTTCAAATATTTCAAACATTTCAAATATTCCAAATATTTCAAATATTTCCAATATTTCAAATATTTCCAATATTTCAAATATTTCCAATATTTCAAATATTCCAAATATTTCAAATATTTCAACTTTCAATATTCCAAATATTTCAAATATTTCAAATATTCCAAATATTCCAAATATTTCAAATATTTCAAATATTCCAAATCTTTCAAATATTTCAAATATTCCAAATATTTTCAATATTTCAAATATTCCAAATATTTCAAACAATTCAAATTTTAGTTTTCCAAATATTTCAAATATTTCAAATATTCCAAATATTTCAAGTATTTCAAATATTTCAAATATTTCAAATATTTGAAATATTTTAAATATTTTGAATATGCCAAATATTTCCCATATTGCAAAAAATTCTAAATATCCCCAATATTCCAAATATTTCAAATATTCCAAATATGTCAGATATTTCAAATATTTCAAATATTCTAAATATCTTAAATATTTCAAATATTTCAAATTTCAATATTCCCAATATTTCAAATATTATAAAATATCTCCAATATTCCAAATATTTCAAATATTCCAAATATTTCAAATATTTCAAATATTTCAAATATTCCAAATATTTCAAATATTTCAAATATTTTAAATATTTTAAATATTTTGAAAATGTCAAATATTTCAAATATTGCAATCTTTTTAAATATCTCCAATATTCCAAATATTTCAAATATTCCACATATTTCAAATATTTCAAATATTCCAAATATTCCAAATATTTCAAATTTCAATATTCCAAATATTTCAAATATTCCAAATATTTCAAATATTTCAAATATTCCATATATTTCAAATATTTCCAATATTTCAAATATTTCAACTATTCCAAATATTTCAAATATTTCCAATATTTCAAATATTTCAAATATTTCAAATATTCCAAATATTTCAAATATTTCAACTTTCAATATTCCAAATATTTCAAATATTTCAAATATTCCAAATATTCCAAATATTTCAAATATTCCAAATATTTCAAACAATTCAAATTTTAGTTTTCCAAATATTTCAAATATTTCAAATATTCCAAATATTTCAAGTATTTCAAATATTTGAAATATTTTTTAAATATTTTTTAAATATTTTGAACATGTCAAATATTTCCCATATTGCAAAAATTCTAAATATCCCCAATATTCCAAATATTTCAAATATTCCAAATATGTCAGGTATTTCAAATATTTCAAATATTCTAAATATCTTAAATATTTCAAATATTTCAAATTTCAATATTTCAAATATTTCAAATATTCCAAATATTTCAAATATTTCAAATATTTTAAATATTTTAAATATTTTGAAAATGTCAAATATTTCAAATATTGCAATCTTTTTAAATATCTCCAATATTCCAAATATTTCAAATATTCCACATATTTCAAATATTTCAAATATTCCAAATATTCCAAATATTTCAAATATTCCAAATATTTTCAATATTTCAAATATTCCAAATATTTCAAACAATTCAAATTTTAGTTTTCCAAATATTTCAAATATTTCAAATATTCCAAATATTTCAAGCATTTCAAATATTTCAAATATTTGAAATATTTTAAATATTTTGAATATGTCAAATATTTCCCATATTGCAAAAATTCTAAATATCTCCTATATTCCAAATATTTCAAATATTCCAAATATGTCAGATATTTCAAATATTTCAAATATTCTAAATATTTCAAATATTTCAAATATTTCAAATTTCAATATTTCCAAGATTCCAAATATTATAAATATCTCCAATATTCCAAATATTTCAAATATCCCAAATATTCCAAATATTCCAAATATTTCAAATATTTCAAATATGTTAAACATTTTCAATATTTTGAATATGTCAAAGATTTCAAATATTGCAATCCTTTTAAATATCTCCAAATATTCCAAATATTTCAAACATTTCAAATTTCAATATTCCAAATATTTCAAGTATTGCAAATATTCCAAATATTTCAAATATTTCAAATATAGCAAATATTCCAATTTTTCAAAGATTTCACATACTTGAAATATTACTTTTTATTTGTTTTTTCATTGATATTTTAACTTCAATATTTGTTACTTATTTTTTCTTCATTCAGGTTCTTACTATTAATTACTAACAATTATTTTCTTTTTTTAATTTATTGCTGTTTATTTATTTATATATATAGATATTTATTTATTTAAATATTTTATATATTTATATATTTATATATATATTTATATATATTTACATACATATTTATATATATATATTTATATATATATATATTTATACATATATATTTATTTGTTTATATATTTCAATATTTATTTAAACATATATATATATAAATTATTTATATATATATATTTATTTATATATATATATTTTGATATTTTTATAAATATGTAAATATTTCTTTTTACTTTTATTATTGCTATTCTTTTTAATTTAAATTTATTTGTGCTTTTTAATGATAAGTTATTAGTTACTATTATTATTTATTATTTTTTACATATTTTTTTTGAATTATCTATATATATTTTATGTGTATATATATATAATTATTATTTTTTCTTTTTTTTAAATCTATATTTTCTCAACATAATAAAACATTCATTATTACTTTTTAATATTTTAGGTATTTATTTAATTAAATATATATTTTTCAATATTTATTTAAATATATATATATATTTATTTATATATATATCATATAAATAAATATATATATATATATAAATATTTATTTATTTATTTTATATATATATATTTCAAACTTTATTTAAACATATATATATAAACTATATATATATACTATTTATATATATATATATTATATAGATATATTTATATTTATATATATATATTTATAAATATATATATATATTTATTTATATATTTATATATATATACATTATAAATATATAAATATATATATATATTTATTTATTTTTTACTTTTATTATTGCTATGCTTGTTAATTTAAATTTATTTTTGCTTTTTAATAATTAGTTGTTAGTTATTTTTATTTTTTTATTTTTTTTTAATTATTTAAATTTATTATATATATATGCTATTATTATTTTTTACTCTTTTTCTAAATTTATATTTTCTCAACCTTATAAATAATTCATTGTTACTTATTAATATTTTTTGAATTTTTAAATTGTTAAATTCATGTTTTATCTTTATTTCGTATTTTCCTACATTTTTTTTACTATTATTTTTTTGTTTGATCATTATTTTTTATTTTTTGATTTTTATGTCAAATTTTAAGTATGTTTATCATTATTTTTTTTATTTTTATATATTTTTTATATATATTTTTTAATTTATTGTTTGTTGGTTTTTATTTTTTATATATCAATATATTTTTAAGTTTATTATTTTTTTTATTTTATTTTTTTATATTTTTGATTTTTATGTTTATTTTATATTTTTTAAAAATATTTTTCAAACATATATTTTAGTTTTTATTTTCTTTTTCTTTATTTGTTATTTTTATTTACTTTTATTTATATATTTTTGTATCTATATAGATTTTTTAATTTCTATTAATTATCATTTATTATTTTTAAATATTTATATTTAGTTAGTTGCATTTTTCACATGTATTTAGATCAAAGAGACATATTGAATAAATATATTGTTAGGCATAGGGGCTGCCTGTTACCTCATCTGTACGCACCCAAAGTAAATACTACCGCAATCTCCTCTGAGTTTTATTTTTGTGTATTGGCTATACGTGTCAACAACCGATTGGGGCATGAAAGGTATTGCAATTTCAATCTTTAGCGTTCATAGTTTCAAACATGGGATGCTAAGTTCTTGAAATTGGCAGATTTTCCATCTCAAGCTTCAACGCGGAGGGTAACAAGGAAGCAGCTAACGAAGTGTTTGAATAATCATCTAGCCCAATCGTCATGACCATCATCAGTAACATCATCATGACTCCTTTTGATGCCATGTTTTGTTTTGACGCCTGAGCCCGCCCTTGGTGGTGCCTGAGCGCAGCGTTTACCAATGATAATCATTCAAGCGATTGAACAAAAATTCGTTCAAACAGTGAGATCATGCTTGCCACCTTCATCACAGTACTGCATCGGTCTAGGACGCAGTGATTGAAAACAGTTATATAGAGGTGCCTGTGCCCGCCCTTGGTGGTGCCTGCGCACGGAAATTAAATTATATAAAGAAGTGACCGAAAAAAGGCGAAGCAACCCCATTCCTTCCTTGTGGGCATTCTGTGCCATGGAGTCTTTGCCATGGCAGGATTGGGCGCAAGAGGCATCAGAAGAGTTTGGATCTGACTTTCGCCGCAAATTCGGGATCGGTTGGGTGTACGATAAAGCCGCTGTTCCAAGAGGGCGCAAAAACCGAGCAGATATGCAGACAGCTTACAACTCTATTTGGCTAGCCCTAGACGCTCTTCATCCAACACTCCACCCGGAAGGATCTCAGCTGAGTGATTGGCCCCAGTGGCCAGCTGAGCGAGAATTTCACAATGCTGTCCCGACATTGCTGAGCCGGCAGAAGCCTTTGGGAGAAACAGTGAATTTGCTGTATAGTTCATGGGTTATTCAGTATTGTGAAAGACTGTGGCATTCAAAAGGCGGCGTTCAAGCAATTGTAGATGCAACCCCTGCGATGATTGTTGATCATACGTACCACCAATTCACTCATCGTGGCATTCGAAACCCGGAGGAAGACTATGCCTTGGCTGGTGTTCACACGGAATGGGTCCCCGAAGGTAGCGTGGCAGCTGGATCTAATGAAGAGCACCCTTCGTTGGCTTGGCGATATTGTGCTGTCCAGCAAAGGATACAAATTGGCCTCAGGGAGTCTGCTGCTTTGCGTCATACGTTGTCTATGGTGTCTTGGAACGCGGGCGCAGCCAGGCAGCGACTAGACGTGGGCTTGTTCTGCTCGAAATCTTTTGTTTGCGGGGCAATCCAGGAAGCAAATGATGAGGTCTACCAGCAACTGCTGCGGCACGGCTGTCGAGTGTTTCGGCCCAACAACGAAGACATTACAGCTTGGGTGTTTATTGGTGACCAATTCCTCGAGGGTGGCGAAGTTATTCACGAGCATCTTCGAACCGACGCTCAAGGGCGCTGGATTCTTACTGCCACTTTTGTCCATTTGAGGTTAAAGGCACCTCACGATTGGGGGGTCCGCGGGGTCACCTTAGGAAGTGCTCATTTGAACAATGTTGTTGCTAAATCACCAGATGTCGCGACTCAGGTGTTGGACGAGTTCTTGACTCTCGCCAACCAATACAACGTAGACTTGATCGGATGCGATCTGAATCAAGGGATTTGTCCTCGCACGCGAGAAATTTCGCCATACCACGCAGCTACCATTGCAGTGCTTGACCGGCTGAAGTTTCAAAAAAGGATGCCTATCGACTTGTTGGGAACAGCTGCATCAGATTGCGTTGACTGGATTATGTGCCCTTGGTCTTCGTTTCGTGGAGTCAAACTGGCACGACATGGCGCTATTGATTTTCAGCCCCTTGATGTTGGGATTCGGCGCTTTGACGGCGATTCTCATCATCCGAGCTTTCTCTTCTTTGAGATGAGCAACAAGCGAGCCCGAACTTCTGCAGGCTGGGCTGCCCGCCAAGAAAGGAAGAAGCAGAATCTTGCTGTCAAAAAGACCATGAAGCGAAACAGATCATGAAGCGCAATAGATGATGGTGCGGCAGATCCAAAGTGGGACAGATTTCCACACAGCAACGGGCTTGCATGGGACAAAGGCGGCCTGTGCAGAGTGAAAGTGGCGAAAGATGGGCAAAGGGTGGCTTGTGTGAAATGAAAGGACGAGGAAAACAGCAGCAATTGCATTGCCGAAAAAAACGGAAGGAAGGGAATGAGAGGGAGTGAGAGGAGTGAAGGACTGATGACTCTTGGGGCTAAAGAATCATTAGGTTGCAACTGTGGTTCTAATCACTAGTGATTGGAACATCAAGACGATGTGATTAGCTGGTAAGCTTTAAACACGTCAAGGCCTACCACGGAAAGCAGTTTGCTCAACACAATGATGTTATGGGTGGTCTGCAAACAGTTGTGGCCAGCTGTTTTACATAGATGTACGAAGTTATGTATTTATTATTTATCTATTAATCTATTAATCTATCTATCAATCTTGTAAATATTTACATTATATAGTAGATCACAGAGATGCCTCTTGGCATATATATATATATACAGTGTGTATGTGTATATATATATATGTGTGTGTGTGTGCGTGTCATATATGTAAATATAGAGTACCTCACCACTCTCACTGATGATGGCCGTTTCATCCCAAGATTCTTGGCCAACCCGCACCCAGCCACGAACCAGTGCAGTGTCACCTGCTGAATGAGAGCCCATGCCTCGCTATTTTCAAAGAACCTGGGTTCCCAGGCTCGGGACATCGGAGGCAGACATATGCCGGAAACTTCTCTGTGTTTGCAAACTGGTTGAATTGTTGAATGCATTCAAGTTGAATAATTGGTTCTGGTTCTGGGTACTGGTTTGCAACGAAAAATGCCATGGCAACTCCGCGAAAAATCCGTGCGCATCTCAGTGGCCCATGGCAATGAAACGGCGCCTGTCCAAGAGTTCTTCCACCTGCTGATCCATGTCGCGCCTTGGAAGTCATGGCGTGTCGCTTGGTGTCTGCGTGATGTCTTTGTGCACGTGCCTCCACTACACACATAGAGACATGGTTTCCCAACAACTAGATTCGGAATGGCATTTTCTTGTCTGTGGATTTGTTGCCTGTCTAATTTATTTGGAAGCCAGAATCATATGCTGTTGTGTTTACGTATGTCTTATAGTATTGATATACATCTCGTAATAACTAGCACATCCATATTATGCCGTCTAAATTGTGTAACCAATTTCAATCATCCAAGAAACAGTCAACACTGGTGGGTAACGAAAAGACCTATTCATGCTGAACGGGTTATGGGAAGTTGGAAAAGAAAACACATGAATGATCCTCTTTCTACTGTGTATCCTTTTGAAAACGTCTGAATCTGCTAATTTGGGAGTGCAGCGCATCTGGAGATTTTCAGGAGCCACTTCCCAACAGCTCAGTTTGACTTCCTCCGTGGCATTTGCAAGATATTTCCGAGTGGCTGGGTTTTTTTTAAAAGCAATTGAGCCACAGAATTTCCTGGGGTTATGTTGGGTATCCATCTTCGGGAGTCCCCAATTTACACTAGCCATCCATCTTCGGATACCCTAGGTTAAACTAAGATAGATGTGAAAAAAACATGAGGAAACCCTGTAAGGATGATCTACAAATAGTAGGTGTTCCATCTTCAATCTGCAGATCCTGGGCTCTGCGGCAGTTGTCTCTCTTGTGGCACAGGCAGAATCAGGCCATCCTGCGCCCCGGCGGTGGCAAGGGGATTTCTGATGGGTTGGTGGAGAAAATGTTGGGTTTGGTCAAAGTCTGGCACCCACAGAGGTTGGTCTCTCTTTATTGGAGGGAACCGGGGAGCTTTCCAATTCTCGGGGTCTCAATTCTAATTTTGACCCATAACTACATAGATCACCGTAAATCCTGAAGGTTTTCTTTCATATATGTAGTAAATCACAGTCTCTTCTTCAAGCACACAGTTTTGGATGATGCACACGGCCGAGAAGCGAATTGCCAAATATATGAGGATCACTGGATTCCAGCCCTAACCAAACACCCGCACCTCCACATTAGAAGTTTGACCTTGGTTGGACTTTCGGCGTCGCAAGTGTAGGATTCAGAACGAGATTTTGGGAAACTGGAGCTGTTTGTTACCTTTCACACTGACAAGTCAATCATGGCATTTTCTCAAGTTGATCCACACACTCTGGAGTCGCTTCCTGACTTGAATTTCTAAGGGATGTCATATGCCGTCCATGTCATGGGTGGTTACTTTTTGCACTTTGAGGAACAAGACAGTACCGAGCAACAGTGCAAATCAAATTAAGGCTGATGCATCTGATTCTCCTCCTGCCTTATTTGACTGGATTGGTTTTAAGGACAATTTACAACCCACGTAATTACACGAAACTGTGGTTTTACCCTCAAACAGTGGGATTTCCTGTACAAGTAGATGTTTCTTTAAACCAATTCTGGGAATTATTTGCCCTGTTTTTGCTTCAATCCCTGGTTTTCATGATTCCCTCTCCAATCTTGTTGCCAACCAATGATTCTAGCCAATATATTCCCTCAGAGATCCCTATCATATTCCTACTCCAACCTTGAGCCCTGCTCGCCTTTTCGCACAATCAAACGCCAGCACGAAATAAGGGCGCACAAGCGCCAGCTGGCACGTCTCAGGACAAGGAGTTTCTCCGGGCAGACTTCTGCTGCTTCATCTTGCCCCCCCCATCCCAGTTAGAGGAACCACGGATGCTGTTCAATGCCCGGGTATAGATCATATTTATATACATATATATATATATGTATGTATATATCACACGTATAAGTATAGGTTTGTAATATAGAGATAAAAACATATATTACACCAGCATAGACCCCAAACAGCAACAACGCATGTTTCCACCAAGGTCATGTGCAATTCAAAATTCATGGAACTGTCTGGCACACTCCTGTTGAGAAAAGAAAGAAGAGAGAAGAAGGGAGACAAGCACCGGAACCCCAGCCCGAAGCAGGAGGAACCAGGAAATCCATGAAGGAACAGAATCCCATTCCTGAGAAAAGAACAAAGCGAGAAGAAGGGAGACAAGCACCGGAACCCCAGCCGGAAGCAGGATGAACCAGGAAATCCATGATGGAACAGAAGCCCTTTCCTGAGAAAAAAAAGGGAGAAGAAGGGAGACAAGCACCGGAACCCCATCCCGAAGAGGGAGGAACCAGTAAATCATGATGGAACAGAAGCCCTTTCCTGAGAAAAAAAGGGAGAAGGGAGACAAGCACCGGAACCCCAGCCGGAACCAAGAGGAACCAGCAAATCATGATGGAACAGAAACCCTTTCCTGAGGAAAGAAAGAAGAGAGAAGAAAGGAGACAAGCACCGGAACCCCAGCCGGAACCAAGAGGAACCAGCAAATCATGAGGGAACAAAGGCTGTTTCTAGCAAGAATTAAGAACCCCATTCAGCTCAAGAGCTGTTTGGGGAATCATATGTTGTGTTACACATGCATGTAATAAACACAAAGATATCAGATATGCATATATATATATGTACAATATGTATTGTGTGTGTATGTATAATATATATATATACATGTGTATAATATGTATATATGTATATATGTGTGTATATATATGTGTGTGTCTAATATGTATGTATATATATATAATATGTATGTGTATATATATATATACATATGTATAATATGTATATATATATATGTATAATATGTACATATATGTATAATATGTATATATATGTATATATATATGTATATGTATATATATGTATATATGTGTGTGTTTTGATACATTTGACATGTGGCAGAAATGTGTGTTTATATACATATATTCCAATAATATATAGAATACATATATATAAGCTATGATATACATGATATATATATATACAATATCATATATCATATACATGGTATATAGACTAATATATACCATGCACATCACATATGTATATATATATACACATGTATCACATATACCATGTATATCCTAGACATAAAGTAAATCAAATATATCACGTCCATCTCACAGATGACATAAATATGGGATATTACATATAGATCTTTTTTTATCATATGTACCACACTCATCATATGTGCATCATATGTCTCAAACATATTGTCATGGTTATCAAATAAATCACATAATATATATATATATATACGTATATATCACAAAAACCACAGAATACTATGTGTATCAAAACTAATGGATGTCCATCAATATTATGGCATTATGGGTTCACGGCCACAAAGGAATGTCAGATGCTCAAATGACAGGAGCGACGAAACATTGCTCAAGCCAGCAGCTTGCGGCGGCTCACTGCTTCACCAACTTGGGCTGCTAACTTCATGGACCATCTCAACATGGGCTACTCGTTGTTGGTCATCATTTTCCCCAAGAAACTTGTCATTTTGGGGTATCCAATTTTTGAGCAAACTCATGTTGTCATGTTGGCCCATTTCAACGGGAAAATGGACATCAGAGACCCATGGCCAATGCGGTGTCTTCGGGAAATGCGCAGGCGTCCACAGGCATCCTGGAGCGTGCTGGCAGTGCTGGCCCCAAACGAGGAGATCACTTTCGACCCAAGGGATTCCTTAAAATTTGGAAACAAAACCTGGGATTTGACAGATGATCTGATGATCCTGCTGAGTGCACCAATAAAACGAAGAAAACAAAGGCCTCATACTCAGTTTCAATGCCGTCAAAAGAGATTAGAATGGGGTGAAATGCTGTAGTACTTCCGTTCTCTGGTCTCTGGCTGCCAACAACGTTGCCAACAAGCTTGAATTCCTCATGGTGTGATGTAGCCTCAAGCAGTGTCTGGATTTCATAATTGAAAACACTTCCCCCTAGCGATTCCTCTTATCAATTATATCCGGAAGCATCACGTCGTACCCACCATCGGTTCAACGGATCAAAAAATGCCACAGTCTCTCTCTCTCTCAAGATCTGGCTATGGGTCAAAACCCTGGGTTCACCCCCAAATAGCTGGCAATTCGATGTTCACCCCCAATAAAAAGAGCGTTAAATAATAGGTTTTGATCCACCCCCAATCTAAAATTCATTTTTTCTGGCATCCGTTGCCACAGATGCCACCGACATCCCTGGGCTCCTGGTCATGGTGCCCCAGATCCCTCAGGCAGCTTGACGTCAACCACGTTGTGGTCCAAATCTTCAAAGGACACCTGCAGTGCCGCAGCGGAAGGTAGAGGTCGAGTAGAAAGAATGAGCCCGTGCAACCAACCGTGCATCCGAACTGCTTTCGAAATGAAGACCCAGGTTTTTGGCAAGTGGAACTGCAATATTTAGAAAGTAGAAATGTTGGTGGAACATAAACCTGCAGGACAGTTTCGCAGAAGGGGTCCCACCTCCATGGAACAAGCTTGGTCCTTTGGATCATCCTTGCAATCCTGAGCCGAGTATCCAAAAAGGTCATATGTGGGCCAAAATTCACCTGGCATAATCAGATGCTTAGTCAAAATTGTGAACGAAAACATCCACTCTTGCGGGTAGCCAAACCTTGCCATATTGGCATGGCTTCGTTCGTCAAAATGCTCTGACGCATTTGGTGCATGAAATGGAGCAGGCAACATCCTGACAGCGTATCTGTCCCAGTGAGGAGTGGACATGATGGCTATCCACGAAGGGACAAGATATGGGTTCTGGGTCAAAATGATCGGAACTCTGAACATGAATGATTAATCACGTTTAATATTGACAATGACCAGTCATTTGGTCAGGTACACTGTTTGATTTGAACAATATAGGCTCGTTTGATCATATCTTGATACATCCCCATGACACCCATGTTTTTGATCATTAAACAATTAATTAAACATACATTTTTTGTAGATTTTTTTGGTACTTCAATCCCTCTATTTATGGTAAGCTACCCAGCTACCCCCTTGCAGCTTTTGGCCAAGCTGGGATGGCCAGGACACAGACTGCCACTGTTCCAAGGTCAGGGTCTGCAGCGATGGTAACGCATGGATGGCGTTGCTTCGCAGTCCCTCCTGACCGACGGATGGGACGGTTGCGCCCAAAAGCATGGCGTTGCTTCGCAAGCCGTGGATGAAAAACCATCAAAAAGGGATGGATGGCGAGCCCAAAAGGAGCAAGTTGGTGGGTTTTTAAACATCAGTTCAAAACCATACCAATTCACAAGAAAGCGAACACTGCATGTGTCTATGGCTCACACTACGGCTGTGAATGGAAACACACATTTTATTCGTGTTCACCCTCGATCATCCAAAAAAATTAGAGGCGTAGCCACATCACTTCAAATCACACTTCAAATCAGTGCGACTCTGCCTATCCACAACACGAAAGCTTCCCCTGTCTTGCAAAGCTGGTGCCTTGAGAGCCATATGTACAAGACGCTGTCGATCAAGCATGGAAAGTGTGTCAAAGGCGTCTGAGACAATCAGCACCTGCAGAGCACAAACAAACCCAAAAATTGGAAGGTTTCGGCTCACCACTACATACCCGTGTGAAAGAGCAAAGAAAGGATAAAGAGAGAATGGTAGGCAGCACCTATGCCAATGCATCTGCTGCCTAGCTCAACTTGGGTACTTTCCAGGGTTTGTGGAAAATCATTGGCGGTGAATCACCATTTATATAATTGATTGTTGTGTTTCCATTGTTAGTGCTAAAACTGCCCTTTTCCTCCCCCATTTTTTCCAGGTAAAAACGGTTCTCCTGCCACTTGTTTTCCATGATCCATAACCCCATTTTTTTTAATCCATCATTTCTTTCATAAATCAACCACCCATATTCTGATGGTTAAATCCTTAAATCCCCATATTCCTACGGTCAAACCCCCATATTTTGGATGCTTCAAGCTGGAGCCATCGCCAGGGCCATCGCCAGGGCCATCGCCGCCCCCGGGGGCCTTCAGCTCTTTGCCGTCGGGGTGGCGACTTCGGCCACTGCCATCGAAGAAGCCCCTGGAGGTGTGGCCGTCGCTCACATCCTGCGAGGTGAGATTGGTAAGATGATAAAGTTGGATTATATGTTACACACCATCCAACAAAAGGCACAATGGGAAACAAAGGAGACAAGACCCTCGGGAAGGCGGACTCACCATCCAACAAAAGGCAAAGAATGAGACAAAGGGAGACAAGACCCTCGCTAAGGCGGACACACCATCCAACAAAGGGCAACAAGAAGCGGTACAATGGGAGACAAGGGGAGACAAGACCCTCGGGAAGGCAGACACACCATCCAAGAGTGACCACCACCTGCACCATCCAACACCAAGGCGGACACCTTAAGAAAGCATTAAGAACGCCCAACAGTACACTGTTTGGGGGAAAAAGGCGTCTGCATTTTTTCAATTTCAGTAAATTTCACACGACCGGAATTATCCCATTTGTAAGTGAAGTGAATCACTAGAAACCAGAGCATTTTCTGTTGCTTGTCCTGCACCGCAAGGTGGTGGATGTCCGGAATGTTCCTCTGGAGCTTCTCAGTCGCCCACTTCACAATGTCACCTCCAAAGGTAGAATGGGATGGGATGCGTGAAATCCAGTGTACCAACCTAGCAAAGGAACATCGGACATTTCTAGATTAGTTGATTCTAAGGAGGAAAATTGCCAGGATGCCTGGGCCTGGATGGTCACCTGCCCAAGATTTAGTATACATGTTCACAAGCTGGTTCGAACCCACCTGACAAGGTAGCTGGAGCGTTCATTGACTCGAGCGATATGGGTCTATAGGTCAGAATCCTGGAAGTGTTGAACATCCAAAAAAGGAAGGAAAGGGAAAAACAAGTACAGTAATAAGAAAATGCCATTCCCTTTAAATATCTTTAGTGTCTCCGCTCAGTGCAATTTCTATAAAACGCTTTAACATAGGCTCCTGCAGGCCCATGGTCGCCCAATTGCCCACCTTTCACCCACCCCGTGCAGTCGAGTTGCGTTCACCACTAGGTCCAGTCCATGACCTGATCACACAAAATCCTGCAGTAGCTCTGCCACAAAAAGGATGCAATGTGGTGAACCCAACAAAATAATAAACTTATAGTAACCCAAAAAAAGATAGAAAAGTCATGTGCCACCGGGATTACCCTCCAGTAAATTAACATAGACCCTGGCAGATAGGAGTTGGAAGATTAGTTTCCATTAAAAATTGGTTATTTTCAGGGTCTATGTTTATTTACCAGAGGGTATGTTGTTCTATCTTTTTGGGGGTTGCTATCCAAGAAAAAGTGTCATGGCATTGGATTTGCTATGAGATGATCCAGCATAGAAAGGTGGCCTGGCTGATAGTAATACTACGACTACTCTTCCCCATCAATTTGCCACGTTACGGGTTGGAAAATTCCACTTTTCAGGCACATCAAAATATCATATCAACTAAAGTATATACACATGTACATTAAATACAATATATCCCAGTAAATCCTATTCTGTGATGCAAAAAAATCAGCGCGGTCACCAGCTCTAAGTGCCCTGCAATGGTCCGTGGCTCACCACCAGAAACACCAGCGCTGCCCAGCGCCTGGTCCTGGGATGGGTCAAAACCCTATCCCCCTGGTGAACATCAAAATAGCTGGGATTTATGGATGTTCATCCCCCTAAAAATGGTATGTATAGGTATTGATCCATAGCCATATGACTCCTATATCAAACCTGTGTGGAAAGACAAGTACCTCATTTCTTAGGTTGTTGCGCTGTACTCTTGACCGTTACCCAAATACCCGGATTTTTAGAGTTGCCAGCCTACAAGCACCATTCCCTTTCACAGTAAGAATTTGCTCTTTAGGAATACGGGACCCCTTACCTAACGCCTGAGCTGAGGCACTGCCGATCCCACGGCATGGCGCAGGAAAAGGTGGTGGAAAATGAAGTAAGGCCAGTGTGAAAGCCTGCAAGTCTTATGTCTGTGTGCCATATTAGTGAGTATATTGCTTTGGCAATTCTGGAGGTAAGGCGCTCCGGTTGGACAAAAGAGTGGTGTGTTTCAAAGAAACCAGGTTGGGAAGAAGCTAGGGCGCTAAGGACAACAGACTTTGAACTTGGGAACTTGGCTCAGTTGATCTCTGTCTCATCCATAAATAGCCGAAGCTGCAGCATGAATTCATTGGGAAGTTTGCAAATCAAAATCTTCAAACAGCGGAACCAGAGCATCATCAGAATATGCATGCATTTCGTATGTACATATACACAAATCAATAAATAAATAAGCAAATGAATATGTATATATACTTCAGGTATTATATATATAATTCATATATACATACTAAATACATCAAATAATATCGCTCCGAGGTTTGTATCTGTAGACTTCTGCCATCTTTCGGACATCAATCCGAACTTCCATCTGTTCCGCTGAGTGCGCAGGCCAGTTCTGCAAGGCGCCTGGCAGATTTCAGTTTTGCTAGCAGGTTTCAACCTCTGCAGAAGCCTATTCCCTCAACAAAATAAATTCGAAAATCTATATTTAAAAAAAAAAGTAAAAAGAAAAAAAAAGAAAAGTTAATCTCCACTACCTTTCTGGATGAATTATATCCATCTATTTAGTTCTTTTTGGGGTCACCCAATCTGGCACCTGGCTGAGGGCTGCCACACCAACCGCCACTGGCATCACTGGCAGGGGTGCCTCACCACCTGCATAGAAAAAGCCACTTACAGGGGCTACATCACAACTTATTGTTCTTACAATAACCGGCTATAACCCCCCACAGCGCCCCCCAGTATGGGTCAAACAGGGCGCAAGAATGATCAGTTTATTTTGTACTTAACTTGAGTCCCAGGAATAAGGGACGAAAGCTAGCTTGGCAGGGAGTTTTGCATGAAAATACAATGATCCTGAGGATGCGGATGCTGTCGAATTTGCTGCCGGTGGCAACATGCCGACGGTGTACCCGGAGGGACTTGAGCCACGGCCAAACTGCTTGTGAACCAGCCAGCAGGGGGTCGCTAAGTATGAAGTTTCATGCGATTGGAGATTCCAGCCCCCCACATTACCTTTTCAATTTCTTTGGATCTTCGAGTTTGATCATACCATGCCTATATCGACACTGTGGATTGGTTCGACTGCTTGAGGGCGGAAATCCTATCATGTGACCATTAGAACTGAACCCATCCTCCACCATCGCGATCAACCGAACCTTGGGGTCAATTATCTCCAATACATGTTCATCACAAAATTAAACACTTTAAGAGCTCATGCAAAGAACTTCGGGCCACATGAGACAGGGTACGAGGTGGCACACAAGTACTAGTGGCACTGATCACGGACATCTAAAAAGGTCTCCAGTCAGGTCAATCAGGCCTTATGAATTTCCCAGCTATCAACCACCATCAACCCCTATGCTTTGGGCATTATCAAACCCCTACTGTTTGGAGGTAGGCACTTGCCTGGTGGAGGCGACGACTGCAGCGCGGGGCGCCCGATGGGCGTGGGAGGGCTCACCTGCTCCAGGGGATCACCTGGATGATTTATGGTTGACTCACATATTTATTCTTTAACGATATGTTTAACCTGTTTAACGGTATTTAGGGATATTCAATGATAGTTATGGCTCTTGGGATAGCCAGTGATCCTTGATTGAAAATTGGGGGGTGTACGGTATTTGTCAACAGGAGTCTGTGTTGAGATACAAGTCCTTGTACATCCACAACTATCCCAACTTGTGGTACCTAATTTCTGACCCAAAGCCAACTGGTGATGATTCAAAGGTGAAACCGACAGTTTGGGGCACTGCAATGTATCCGTCCGCATCCAAGACAGTGGCCAATCATTGTCTCAATGGCCTACTTTTACTTGCTCACAACCAGGCGTTGAAGCTTACTCTGAACTGTGCACAATTCCTGCAACGTCAAAAGAGGCTCTTTTACTGCCGGCTATGGAAATCAAACTGTACCCAGAAGTAGTCGCTGTGCTGGCACACTGGTGTTCAAGTTCGGTGCTGCTTCATTTACCTCGCCATAAATTTTTCCTGCTGCTTCTTTACAAGGGACTGAAACCATACTTTGCCACTGCCAGATTTTTACTTCTCCACAATTTCAACATCCATTCCAACATCCATTCCCTGCAAATGTCCTCAATTTCAGCAAAATGATGAAAATCTTTGGAATACTTCGGGAAACCATGGGAAACCCACAAAAAAACATCCCGATGATCCCCATACTATCCCCATCTCCCACGGCCTCCGTGCGCTCCACCAACGCTTCCGGCTGCACCTCCGTGTAGGCCGCGGGGGCCACCGGGGCCACCGGTGCCGCCGCAGAAACTGCCGGGCCACTTTTCTCAGGGTCTGAGTCGCTGTCCACACCTGAATTTCCCACATCCAGGGGTGGGCATAGAATCCCAAATGCTTTGCACGTGACATGTAAAATTTGATTTGGACCTCCAGAAATGTTGAGATGTGATGTCCTATTTTTTGCAGCAATGACTATTGACTATTGGGTTTCAAGCACTGGGTCTGAGACTGGTGCCTTCTTTGCTTGCCAAGCCCAAATCCGGAACCGGAACCAGAACAAAAACCCGGATACGCAAACACTGCTGTTGGATTGTAAAGCTGGCTTAGTTTATGGATGTAGTTGGTAGATGTCATTACTCTGATTCCGCATGATTTGTTTGTTTCCAGGAGTATATATCCCACAAGCATGGCTTTCAATTCCAAACTTGCTGACATCCTGGAACCTCTCCCGTAGATGGTGAATTGGAGCTGAGGCTGCGTCCGTCACCCAGTTTCTGCTTCCTCGATTGTAGGACCACAGTCAGAACAACGTCGATCCCGGAGGTTGCAGGGGTCAATCCACATGTTCCATCCAAAGATTCTTGAAGTTGTCTCTCAAGAGATGTTAAGGTTCAGTGGTTCAGTCCTCTGTCTCTCACATTTACTCGAAAACCGGAACTCATCGTCTTCGCAGCTTCGCCATCGCTTCGTGGCTTGAGACTTGAGGCCAAGGTCCACACTTGGTGTCCCCAGCTCCACCGCCAAGCAAGAGTTCTTCGTCGTCGGACTGCAGTCGTTACAACCAGTTCCATAGAGCTCTGCAAGTACAACACATAAACTGTTCAAACTACATACGTTTATATAAATGTCTAGTCTATAGGGTGTATGTATATATATTATATATAATTTATTGTTTTGTCGTTTGTCAGGTAGAGAGACAGATAGGTAGATAGGCAGATGGATAAATGGATAGGTAGATAGGTAGATAGGTAGATAGTGTCAAGTCGTTGACCCGACAAAGCCCTGTGTGGCTGTGGCGTATGGTTTATGCTTACAGGTTTACCACATCCGAGGTTCCAGCCAAAGTGCCGGTGGCGACTAAGTCCTCTCGGGTTTCCACTGCGGAGGGGAGCTTTTTCCCCCACATTCACAGCGATGTCGGGACGCGCTCCTCTTCTGGTGCAGCCTGTGCCGCCTTTCAACAGGCGCAAATCGCTCAACTGGAAATCTTGGAAAATGGGTTTCAAAAATGAATTTCCTATCATCTAGAAAATTGTGACTAGAAATTGTGATTTTGGGGTTCAATGTTCGTTCTCATGGGTGTACATTAATTCTAAGAGGGAGAAAAAGACATCGAGTCAATTCATGCCCCGCAAGTCCGGGTACATCATGATTGGATCGTCAAGCGACCCATATTCAAAATGATGGGTCACAGAACCCGATCACTCCAATACCAGGCCGAACTATTCTCAGGCAACTATCACAAAAAAAAATCCAGAAATGATTATCTATCTGATCCAATTCTAGGATGGTTCCATCTCATAATTACCTAAATGGTTTTGTTTGTTTTCCTTTGCCATGACATGTCGGTCAGTGAAGCCCAAATACCGACCACCTTTGCAACCGGCTCCCGCAAAGTGTCAATCACCACAACCTTGGGCTGACGCCGCGTGGATATATATAGATCGAAATCCATGGCAATAATAATGCAAATAAGCAATCTTAAAATCAATATCAATGAACATCCGTATATAAAATAATATAATTTTACAAAGCACATCACGACATGACATGACATGAAATAATATGCCATATCATTCCAGTCCATTCCATTACATTGCATTGTTTACATAGATATGTACTGCATGTATCTATACGAAAAATATATATATACAGTGTGTGACAATAACATGGGCTAATCTGCTCGACTCCGCCTCTGACTCCTCTGCAGCACCTACTGCGAACTTCGGCGGAGGTGGCCTCAACGGGACATGGGGAGATCATGGAAAAATGGGATCTACAGTCAACGAGTCAACCATAATCAACCATATTGAGGAATTAATAATAGAAGATATAATATGATATAATGATATAACCCATCTGATATCATAGGTTTGCAATGGTTTGGTTGAAAGTATCTTATGGGGATATCAATGGGAATATATGGGAATATCAGTGGAAAATTTCGATGTATATGTCAACAACCTGATCTCTGGATGTGTCTGAAAATAGGGGATAACCATCAAATATTGCGAAAAACAATTATAGACTAACCATCAAATTTGGGGGAAATGGATTGGGTTCAGCGGATTGAAATGTGGAAACCCCAAACCATGAACCATCTCCAAGGACTTGCCAAAAATGGGTGATATATGCATAAACCATGGTTTAACAAGGGTTATATAACAACGGTTGATACATGTTGACACACTACCAAAAAAACACATCGAAAGAAACTTCAAATTTTGGTCACTGAAGGCAGTTTAAGTGACCAAGACCAGCCTGATGCGGGAGGCGCATTGGTCATGGCACTAAGCCACCCGACTTTGCCAACCCAAAGGATTGCGATGAGTTCAGCCTTGGCAACAAACCCCATGACAGTGGGCCAAGTCGAGTCCATTCCCGTAATACGGGTTTGGGTCAAACGTTGAATCCCAGCTCGGATTTTGGAGATTGTTGGGACTAACCATCCCGTACATAGAGTAGCGGACCATATCTAGATCAATTCCTTTCCACCTTTCATGCTGGGACCCTCCAGCCTGCTGGTGGGCCTCTCAACCACCTGAAATCCACGGCTCAAGCTGTGCAGCTGGCATGTCCAAATGGTGCATAAAAACAACCAATCCACACAAACAAATCCAAAAATGTCCAAAGTGATTGGACCGTAAGAAATGTTTCCAAAGAGTTGGTGCATATGGTTTGTTTATCTTAATCTTACTTGGGGCTCACAGCCGAGGCCGAGGCCGGTTTTGCAGACGATACCGATACGACGATTTCAGGTTCGGGAGCAGTCTGCGACAAGATGCCCAAAAACCAAAATGTTTCCGACCGAAAATGTGATGTTCTCAAGAAATCAGCGTGCGAATCAATGTTGAACAAACATGACTGCATACCCGTTTATGTTTCAACAACAAGAAACAATTTTCCAAATTACACACTGAAATGCGTACAAGTGGGTTTATTGTTGCAACGGATCTTGATTCAAACACCATATGCCAATCACGTCCGGCACAAAGGAATCGTTTCAAACTGAACCTCATCCTGTTCCTGTCGCGTATCACGGCCGCCCAGCGGGAAAACAAACAGTAGCAACGCAGGCGTCCTGCCAACGGAAATATAAACAACACAAATTGTTGGTCTGTTGCGATAGTGCAAACATCGCTTTCGGAGTCTCAGGCCGTCACCCGGGTAACGGGGCTAGCTGGTAATTGCGCAAAAAATAAAGTCCATACTCCGCCTGTGCAGGAAACACAACCTCCAGCAATTTTAGAGTGCATATGAGTGCATAGATCACGTACCCATTGAAATCCATCAGTTCTTCTTAAAACTACCACAAGGCAATCGCGTTTGGCAATTCAAAAAAATGTTTGAAACAGACGCAGCCTCCATTTCACGGCAATGGAACCAGTGGCACCACTGGTTCCATTTTAAACCAATATCAGTATCTGATTCGAAAAAGGACGAATTGAAGAATTGGGAGTCAGAATGATTGTTTCGGTGTTGATGTTTTGTTGCGATGTCCATATTGGATGCGCAGGGTCAACAAAAAATTGGCAACATTGTTGTGTAGCGTCTGTGATATCTGATTTTTACTTAAAAATTTCAAGGCTGCTTCTGACATGCAGTGGTTCTCAACGTGTCCAATGCACATATATGTTCACAAACACCTTGAACCCAATGATTGCTATGCCAATCAATTCATGTCCGTGTTTTTGCTGATGGCCAAAACATAATGATGAATTACGCATGTATAAACTCATCGGCAAAAGCGTGCCAGTTTGCTCTGTCGGTCACGAGCACAAACCAACACAACAAAAAACATATTAATTATTAATTATATTATATGTTCTTTTAATTTCTATTCAAGTTGTTTGCCGGACATGCTACTGCTATATTGCAATCGAACATGAAATGAGTGCAGGCAAATACAAATCTTGCAAGAGATCCAAATGGTTAAAAACATCAACACACTCACTGGCGCTCCCACTCTTTCCGACAGTTGGCTCGAATCGGATCTCAGCAGTCAGGTCTCGCGCACGAACGGTTGGGATAGGCTGAGACGGCTGAGTGGGTTTTTCAAGGCTCGGATGACTCGGAGTCCTCACTGGCTGGCATAGCATGCTGGGAGTGAATGAATTGGCGAAAGCGTGTGACGAAGTCCAGGTACAAGGCTAACTTGGTAATTCTCAATTGGTCAATAGACTTGGACACAGCACGAATGGTCTTGCAAAGGTGTTCGTGAACTGGCTGATGGACCTCGGGCACGTCATTGGGAACTCCGTTGACGCTATCAAGGGGGTCAGTTAAGGTAGGCGGACTTCAAGACGTTCGACCGTAAAAAAAAAGTCTCATAAGGTCTTGCATGAAGATAGCCATGGCCATTTGGCGCAATGCTCACATGAGCAAAATGAAAACAAGAAGGTTGTGTACAGCACGTGCTGATGAATGTACCAGTGACACCTGGAATTGAGTTAGTGACTAGTGACGAAAGTCATTGACATCCACTTGGATGTGTCAAGGGTGGGAGTGACTGGACATAGGAACTTAGGGTGGGATGGAAAAACTTGAGCGATTTGACTGCAAAATTGGGTTCACTTGAACCTTAACCAACGGATAATATGAACTGCATGTCCTATTGTTTTGACTCGACACTTGTCAAAACAATCCGACAACTTTTTGAAATTAAAATTCCATCAACACGTTGAGTTACATCTTAATTTCTCTTCCAGTTGTTTGCCGGACATGCTACTGCTATATTGCAATCGAACATGAAGTGAATGCAGGCAAATACAAATGTTGCAAGAGATCCAAATGGTCAAAAACATCAACGCACTCAATGGCGCTCCCACTCTTTTTGACCGTGGGGGCGAGTCGGATCTCAGCAGTCAGGCCTCGTGCACTGCCCCACATGGAGACCCAAGTCTTTCGTAAACAGCATTCCCAGAGCTCTGTCAAGTCTATTGGGCAAGCTGTCAAATCTTGCCATTTGGCAACCTCCTCCCTGGACAAGAAATCCGAGGGCTTGGATTGTGAAGAGACTCTTTCCATCCCTGCAACCAAGCCTAAAGATTCCTCAAGGGAGCAAGGGGCCCGGATGATCAGGTTCGTGTGATCATTGGTAAACTCGCACTTCACAAAACAGGTTTGCGCAGCTTGGTTGTCAGTAAGAAATGACAACTAGCTGCCAGGCGCTTGGAATGCAGCTTTTTGAGAATCGATGAAGCGGGTGTCATATTGCACGCAGGAAATTTTTAATTGGTGGTGAATCACGCACTATGCCGAGGAGTTGGTGCCGATTGGTGCAACTAGTGCCAGGGCATGTTTTTTGCGCTATTTAGCTATTGGTGAATGTTTTTGCTCAGCATGAACCGCCTTACATAGCTGGCTTAGCTTCAAGGGATTGAGTGACAGAGGAAACATAATATCTTTGTCAGAACGCATTTCCGTTTTCGCCGACATGGTCGATCGGCCCTGGCGATTTCCCTGCAAAATGTTGCAGCCAGCTTCTGTCAGACAGGTAATGAAAGCTACGAGAAACAATGCGTGCAGAGCCAAATATGGTCCCCATTTCGGAGCCGCTGAACGCTAGAACTTTTTTTTTGCAACAGGTCTGGCGATTTTTTATCGCAAAACAACGGCTTTAAAAAACGTGTGCTTGTGTTGAACCTGGATCAGGCGTGCCCGCAGTTTCAGGCCACCATGCGGTCTTGTCGCTACAAGCAAACAGAGACGGAGCTTCAGCTTGAGAACTGCGCACATTTGTGCCACACAGCATCACGCTTGTCGTTCTTTGTGAGAAGTAAACCTGTCCCACCTGCCTGCTTCCGGCGCACTTCATTGATGTGAGCACCAGAGTGCTGTGAAGGTGTTTGCTAGAATATGGTTTGGAAGAGTTCAGATGGCTGGTAACTTTTCGGTTGGATCTTCTGTGCATTGGGCTTAAAGAACGGCGTAATACAATGCATGAGGTACCATGCTGGCGTTGTGCTTTCACTGTCATTTGAAAATTATTTGACAGTTTCATGACACACCCCTTTACCCCCTTAGACTCTTTACGTGGAAGGCGAGATTTTCCAGGGGGTAGGAAATTGTTTGGGGATTTATTTTTTTTTAGTTTGGGGAATTTTTTTTGGATTTCCGGTTCTCACCATTTTCCATGCTATTTGCAGCATTTTGGAGCTGGAAACTGCCATTTCCACGGTATGTGCAACGGTTTTGAGTTCGAACCTCTCATTTTCCATTGCATTTTCCACGGTATTTGCAACAGTTTGCAGCATGTTCTGTCCATTTTCCATGCTCTTTGCAGCATTTTTGAGCTGGAATCTGCATTTCCACCGTATGTGCAACATTTTACAGCTACATTCCTCACAGTACTTGCAGGATTTTGGAGCTGAAGGCTGACATTCCAACAGTTGTTTGTTGTTACTGTTACTGTTGTTGGTGTTGGTGTTGGTGTTGTTGTTGGTGTTGTTGTTGTTGTTGTTGTTGTTACCGTTAGTGTTGTTAGTGTTGTTAGTGTTGCTAGTGTTAGTGTTGTTAGTGTTGTTAGTGTTGTATATATATATACAATATATATATATATATACAATATATATATACATATATATATATATATACATATATATATATATATATATATATATATACAATATATATATATACAATGTATATATATATATACAATGTATATATATATATTCTAACCAAAGTAGTGTATTGAAATGTGTGCAAGCTTGAATTTAAATAAAAAAAAGCGGGAGGGGGGGATTGGGGGGGACGGCGCAGCGCCTCCCCCCCAAAGCAGATTGGAAACACCTATTTTCACATGCAAGGTGCTAGGTTGAATGTGATACTCAAGGTGTATATACTACACGACATGCACCTTGGAAACATGTGGAATGTAGGTTAAGGCACAACGATGCACAATAGTTTCATTTGATGTTATCATCGAGTTGGTTTAAGATCTATTTATATAAGGTTTGGTTCAGGGTTGGCTTGGGGTTTGAATATCATCCGCATGATAATGCAAACCTTTTAGGTAGATATATATATATACAGATATATATATAGATATAGATATATAGATAAATAGATATATATATTTAAAGATATATAGATATAAAGATATATGTATATATACATATAGAAATATAGATAGATATATACAGATATATAGATATATGGTGGTATATAAATATATATATATATAGAGAGAGAGATATAGATATATAGAGATATATATATATATAGATATATAGTATATATATAGAGAGAGAGATATATAGATATATAGATAGATAGTATAGATAGATAGATAGATATAGATATAGATAGATAGATAGATAGATAGATAGATAGATAGATAGATTAGATAGATAGATAGATAGATAGATAATTAGATAGATAGATAGATAGATAGATAGGTAGATAGATATATAGATAGATAGATATATATGTATATAGATATCTAGATATAGATATATATAGAGATATATAGAAATATATAGATATATATAGAGATATATAGAGATATATATAGATATATAGATATATATATATAGAGATATATATATATATATATAGATATATAGATATATAGATAATTATATAGATATATGATATATATATATAGGTATATAGATATATAGATACAGCCATAGATGTAGATATAGATACAGATATAGATAGACATAGATAGATATAGATACGTAGATATAGATAGATATAGATGGATATAGATGGATATAGATGGATAGAAGATGTTGCTCCACACCTCATGGAAAAGCAAAAAAGCAAAGAAAAGCAAAAAAGCAAAAAAGCAAAGAAAAGCAAGAAAAGCAAAAAAGAAAAGAAAAGCAGAAAAGCGAGAAAAGCAAAAAAGCAAAGAAAAGCAAGGAAAGCAAAAAAGCAAAAAAGCAAAGAAAAGCAAGAAAAGCAAAAAAGCAAAGAAAAAGAAAAGCAGAAAAGCGAGAAAAGCAAAAAAGCAAAAAAGCAAAGAAAAGCAAAGAAAAGCAAGGGAAGCAAAAAAGCAAAAAAGCAAAGAAAAGCAAGAAAAGCAAAAAAAGGAATAGAAGCAAAGAAGCAGAGAAGCACTGCAGGAGGCAATAGAGTAAGCAGGAAGAAATCCAAAAAAAAATCCCTAAACTAAAAAAAAATCCCTAAATAAATGGCCCTCCTTTTCCAGGGCCCCAAAGGTATGGAGTAGACGCTGTGTGGAATTATTGATTTTAGAGGCAAACAACCGTGTATTGTTATTCCGGAGGAAATTATTCCACCTCATTTCTATTGTGAAGAACATCGTTTTTTGTTTCCTGCATGTCTATGAAAATTACGGTGCCGCTGTGACGCGACGACCGTGAGCCACAGTGGCATCCAAATGCCAGTGGCGGGCGCGCAATTCCGAAACCATGTCATCAGAACACTAGTAGCGAGCGGGAAGACCAGGG